AACCTTTTCCAGGCTCCTTCCACAAATCCTTTGGGCTAACATCTGTCGCCAATTAAGAAATCAAACCAGATTTGATTTCAACATATTAAACAAGCATCTTCTTTTCTCTTCTGGAACTGCTAAAGATTCAGCTGGCCCCCTTCCTTCAAACCCAAATCCTATTTTAGCAAGGAAAAAGCCAAAAAAGAAAAAAAAAAAAAAAGCTTTGCTCCTCACCCACACGGTTCAATTAACCGTGCAATCTCTGAGCGTGTTTTGATCATTGTGGTTTCCCTCAATGAGGACTAGACACTTCTCCAGTTGAAATCCAGCAATAAATAGAACTTCCAATTGATTTCGCTGCCCAATTTTATATCAACGTGGCGAGGAAAAGCGACGCAAGGAACCAAGCGTGGGAAAGCTGGCTTTGCTTGCAAAACACACCCTGAAGAAGATATATAAGATATCTTCTTTTATTATAAGATATATAAGATATATAATTTTATATAATTTTCCTCCCCTCCCTAATATTAAAGAAGCAGCAGGAAAGATGAAAAGAGAGAGAGAGAGAGAGAGAGAGAGAGAGAGAGAGAGAGAGAGAGAGAGAGAGAGAAAATCTTGCATTTGGAAATAAAAGGGCTGTTTCACCACGGGCTCAAATCTTCCTTCATTCGTGCCTGAATTGCACCACAGGTAGTAGCATGCACTTTGCAAAATCACCTTTGCATTAGGAATTAAATTAAATCAACAGGTAGCAAGTAACATTTTCCCACCCGCTTGGCCCGGCCCTTAACCCCCCAAGGAAATTCCGGATCCAGTTGTGCAGTGACTCTCTCAAGACGTGTCTCTTCAGCTCCCTGCAAATTTTTGACATATTTTTGATACGTGAGTGACTGCTGCCACGGCTATTTTAAACCACCCAAGCGTAAAAAGGAAACCTATCTCCGCAAGCCAGGGCAGGTTAGATGCAGAGCAGGCTTTCTTAACTTAAAGGAGAGTTGGCGATAATATCAAGCTTCTAGACCTCACTGTGCGCACGCTTCCTTGGCTCCCGTATCAAAAAGATTGTGCACAATTAAAAGAACAGATTTCTCGAAGTCGCTGGCCTGCTGTGATTGTACCCAAATATTGGCACAATCCGGAATCCTGTCCAAATTACACACCGTTTTAATCTCCCCGAAGGGCTTAGTCGATTTTATAATGAGAAAGCCAAAACTTCAATGTTCTTCAATGCAAATTAAATATCTTTCACACAGATCCTTGCGATACTCAACACAAACCCGTGTTACTCCAAACACCTTAAAAATCGGTTACTGCGATAAGCCAAATTTCCTGGTTTAAATTTCTCTTTGGTGTTGTTTTCCCTTGGGACCAATTTCAATGAAAGAACGGCCTAAAAAGTCTTGGCTAAAACAAAGATAAAAATAAATATTCTTTTTTGTGTGTGTGTGGTTTTTTTCAGCCGATAGTTTTTGGGGTTTTCTTTCCAAACCTATTTACACATCCCCAAAAGAAGCATCTCTTAGGGCATCTCTAAGCGTAAAAAATTTAATTTCATTTAATTCAAGCTCACTCAAAAAAAGGGCGCGCTCATTTTTAAGGTCAGACTTATCAACATTTTTACATGCCAAAAAAAATAAAAATAAATAAAAATCACTTGACACTAATTGTTCTGCCAAAATCGTGAAAATTCAATGTTTCAAATGCAAACCAGCTATTATTGGGGGTCTCCGATATACGAACACGGCTTCTGTTGAAATGATATATGTACAGACATACACATTTATGAGAAGAAGAAAAAAAAAACAGCCCCACATACATGAACCTCCCCGTTAAACTTTAATCTGGAAATTCTGCCATGTATGTGCGTGTTAATTTATTGCAACCTAAACAAAGAGACGCGCGTGCCATTTTAAAAATTAACAATGCATTATCTTGTGTTTACAGATCATAACACACCTCGCCCAATATACGACGGCTGCGATCCGTAGCAATCTTTTAACACTAAGGAAAAAAAATCTGCATTTTCTTAGGAGAGCCATATAGAAAATAACAAAAAATTAAAAGGATTGGAAGGTTTTTTTGGGGGTGGGAGAGGCTGTCTTGCATCCATCCACCATTGGAATTGAGCAAGATTAGGAATTCTGAACGGATGTAAATGCAGATTTTTTTTTTCCGCCCAGTTATGGCTGCTGGACAATGGCATCCACTACCCCGCCCTTCGCGGCTGTGAACCATGGGTTTCCAAAGCCAACGGGCGAGACAATCAAACATCAGTTCACCTTTAAATCAAAGAGGGTTAAGGAAGATCATGGAAAATAATAGAACCTAGATTTTTTGTTTTTTTTTAAAGGGAGAAAAAGCTCAATATTTCTGTTTTCTTGCAAAGCTTGCCCTAACCTCAACTGTTCCGACCAATTTTATTTTTTTTTAAAATGCCATTTAATTCTCCTTTGCAAAAGGGAGAAAACAGCGATGCGAATTTTTGCAGATTTTCCCCCAAAAATCCTTTCATGAAAAGGAACCCCAATTTGAACCCTCTTTTTCAACGCTCCCTTGTGTTTTTTTTTTTGCCAGAATTAGGGCAGGTCCAGTTTGCAAAGGAAAGACCCCCACCCCAAGAAACAAGGATGCAGAATTATGATTATTTTTTTTTCCCAAAAAAAAAAAAAAATCCATTTGATTGCCATTTAAGGAAAAGGGACTATTTAATAGGATCATTCGGGGGTCCCAAATTAGGGGGCAAAGGGGGGGGAAATCAGGAGAGGGGGATTGCAATCTAGAACTGTTTGATTGAAAGATAGACCCCCCCCTCCATATAACCCCACCGCCCATTATGCAATTCCACCGTAATCCCCCATCTCACTTTTTTGCAAAGGGTGAGTGGGCCATGACTGCAGTTTTCCTGGGGTCTTCCCCAGGGGAGGGGGCTTCCCCACCGGGAATGATGTCCCATTTTGGGGTGGGGGGGTGACAGCCAGCTTTGTACCTCCCCACCGCAGAACCCCCCCCCCTTATCCCGACACACACACACCGTTTTGCAAAGAGTGAGAATGGACTTCAGGGCAAAGGCACGGCGGGACCCCCACCCTAAAGGGGAGGGGGCTTCCCCACCAAGGTTTACGGGTTGGAGGGGCGGCGACAGTCAGTTTTGCATCTCTTTCTTCGCCCCCTCCCCATCAACCCGACCCCCCACTTTGCAAAGAGGGCACGGCCGGGACCCCCACACAATTCCCTGCATTTTAAAGGGGAGGGGGCTTCCTTTACAAGATCGGCTCTGTTTTTTTGGGGAGGGGGGCGAGGGGCTGGTTGGCATCTCCTCCTCTATCTCCCCCCTGCTGACCCCACCCACTCTTTGCAAAGAGGGCCCAGATCCCCTAAGTTTCCAGCGCTCCGAAGGGGAAGGGGCTTCCCTGCCAGGATCAACTCCATTTTTTCTGGGGAGGGGGCTTTGCCAACCCCCTCCCCATGCCGACTCCTACCTTTGCAAAGACACCCCCCCCCAGTTTCAAGCTCTCCAAAGGGGAGGGGGCTCTCCCCGCGGGGGATCAACTCCGTTTTTCCTGGGGAGGGGGCGCCTGGTTGGTACAGCCCCCCTTAGCTTTGCAAAGATGCCCCCTCCCCTACTTTCCAGCGCTCCAAAAGAGGAGGGGGGGCTTCCCCACTGGAATCAACTCCCTTTTTTTTCTGGGGAGGGGGCTGTGGACTGGTTCTCATCTCCCCCTCCCAGGCCGACCCCTTAGCTTTGCAAAGACGCCCCCTCCCCTAATTCCCAGTGCTCCGAAAGAGGAGGGGGCTTCCCCGCCCCCTAGATGCCACCAACTCCGTTTTTTTCCTAGGAGGGGGTGCCAGGTCGGTAAAGCCCCCCATGTGACAATCCCTTAGCTTTGCAAAGACGCCCCCTCCCCTAATTTCCAGCACTCTAAAAGGGGGAGGGGGGGCTTTCCCTCTGGGATCAACTCCTGTTTTTTTTCCAGGGGAGGGGGCTCCGGGTTAAGTTCTCATCTCCCCACCTCTCCCCCCATACATATGCCGACCCCTATCTTTGCAAAGACACCCCCTCCCCTAATTCCCTGCACTCTAAAAAGGGGGAGGGGGGGGCTTTCCCTCCGGGATCAACTCCGTTTTTATTTTCCGGGGAGGGGGCTCCGAGCTGAGTCCTCATCTCCCCCCACCTCCCTCCCTCCTATGACGACCCCTATCTTTGCAAAGACGCCCCCTCCCCTAATTCCCTGCACTCTAAAAAGGGGGAAGGGGGCTTCCTCGCGGGGATCAACTCCGTTTTTATTTTCCGGGGAGGGGGCTCCGGGTTGAGTCCTCATCTCCCCACCTCCCTCCCTCCTATACCGACCCCTACTTTGGCAAAGACGCCCCCTCCCCTAATTCCCAGCACTCTAAAAGGGGAGAGGGGCTTCCTCGGGGGATAACTCCTGTTTTTTTTTTCCAGGGGAGGGGGCTCCGGGCTGAGTCCTCATCTCCCCCCACCTCCCTCCCTCCTATGCCGACCCCTATCTTTGCAAAGACGCCCCCTCCCCTAATTCCCTGCACTCTAAAAAGGGGGAAGGGGGCTTCCCCGTCGGGATCAACTCCGTTTTTATTTTCGGGGAGGGGGCTCCGAGCTGAGTCCTCATCTCCCCACCTCTCCCCCCTCCATATGCCGACCCCTATTTTGCAGAGACACCCCCTTCCCTAATTCCCTGCACTCTAAAAAGGGGGGGGGCTTCCTCGCGGGGATCAACTCCGTTTTTTTTCCCGGCCGGGGGCTCCGGGTTGTCCTCATCCCCCCAACTCCCTCCCTCCATATGCCGACCCCTATCTTTGCAAAGACGCCCCCTCCCCTAATTCCCTGCACTCTAAAAAGGGGGAGGGGGGCTTCCCCACCCCACCCCCGAGAGATGCCATCCACTCCGTCTTTGGGGAGGGAGGGGTCGCGGGGGCTGCTCCTCCAACTCCAACCCCCCCACGCCCCCCCCACCCCATTAGGACCCCCACCCCCCCTCCCCCTCCCTCCCCCCTCTCACCTTCCGGCGCTTGTCTGCGAAGGGCAGAGCCAGCCAGGGCATGGCCCGCGTCGCCTCCTGCCAGCGCGGCTGCTCCTGCTCGGCCGAGACGAAGACGATCTCCAGGCTGCTGCTGCTGGGACGGGGCGGCCGCGGCTCCTCCGGCGGCTCCGGCGGCGTCTCCTCCCTCCGGGCCGGGCTGGAAGCGGCCGTAGAAGGCGGCCAGGTTAGCGGCCACTTGCGCGCAGGGCCCCCCGCCGCAGTAGCCGAAGTAGAGCCCCACCAGCGAGACGCCCCTCGCCGGCACGGACGCCGTGGCCACCGCCGAGCCGTCGGGCGCCGCCAGCGCCTCGCCCAGCAGCTCGGCCAGCGCAGCCATGCCCGCCGCCCCCGACCCACAGGCCGCCGCCAGGGGGCGCGCGCGGCCGCAGGGCCCCGCGTGGCGATCCACGCCTCCTCCTCCTCCTCCCACCCGGCCCCGCCCCGGCCCCGCCCCGCCCTCCTGCGCGGAGGACACGCCCCCCCTCCCTCCCTCCCTCCCTTTCCCCGCCCGCTCGCTAGTCGCGCGTCAGCTTGGTCGTGTGAACGCGGGCGGGGCTGAGGGAGAGGGGAGGGGTTTCTTGGAAAAGGGGAGGGGGCAGAGGGGAAGGTGGGGAGGCTGGGTTGGGGGAAATTGGGGGGGTATGAGGGAGAAAGGGGGGGAGGGGGGTGAGTTGGGGGTTTCTTTGAAAGGGGCGGGGGGGGGAGTGTGTGTGTGAGGTGAATTTGGGGGAATTGGGGAATTGGGGTTGTGTGAAGGCGGCTAGGTGTTGGGGTTCCTTTTGGGGGCTACAAGGGAGGGGCAGGGGAGAGTGAAGGGGGGCTGAGTTGGGGAATTGGGGGTCGTGTGAAGGCAGCCACTGTTGGGGTTCCTTTTGGGGGAGGTATGAGGGAGAAAGTGGAGGAGGGGGCTGAGTTGGGGGCTTTCTTTGAAAGGGGCGGGGGTGTGTGAGGTGAATTTGGGGAATTGGGGTCGTGTGAAGGCGGCTAAGTGTTGGGGTTCCTTTTGGGGTACAAGGGAGGGATAGGGGAAGGTGGGGGGGCTGAAATGGGGAATTGGGGTTGTGTGAAGGCAGCTGGTGTTGGGGTTCCTTTTGGGAGGTATGTAGGAGAAAGGAGGGGAGGGGGCTGAGTTGGAGGGTTTCTTTGAAAGGGGCGGGGTGGGGAGTATGTGTGAGGTGAATTTGGGGCCATTGGGGAATTGGGGTCGTGTGAAGGCGGCTAAGGGTTCCTTTTTGGGGGTACAAGGGAGGGGTGGGGCGGGTGAAGGAGGGCTGAGTTGGGGAATTGGGGGTCGTGTGAAGGCAGCCACTGTTGGGGTTCCTTTTGGGGGGGTATGAGGGAGAAAGTGAGGGAAGGGCTGAGTTGGGGGGCTTCTGTGAAAGGGGCGGGGTGTGTGAGGTGAATTTGGGGAATTGGGGTCGTGTGAAGGCAGCTAAGGGTTCCTTTTTGGGGGGTACAAGGGAGAGTCAGAGGAGAAAGTGGGGGAGGCTGAGTTGGGGGGTTTCTTTGAAAGGGACGGAGAGGGGTCCAAGGTGAATTGGGAGCCATTGGGGAATTGGGGGTCGTGTGAAGGCAGCCACTGTTGGGGTTCCTTTTGGGGGGGTATGAGGGAGAAAGGAGGGGAGGGGGCTGAGTTGGGGGCTTTCTTTGAAAGGGATGGAGGGGGGTGATGAGGTGAATTTGGGGGAATTGGGGTCGTGTGAAGGCGGCTAAGGGTTCCTTTTTGGGGGTACAAGGGAGGGGAAGGGGAGGGTGAAGGGGGGCTGAGATGGGGAATTGGGGGTCGTGTGAAGGCAGCCTTTTGGGGGGTTAGGAGGGAGAAGGGTATGAGGGAGAAAGTGGGGGAGGGGCTGGGTTGGGGGCCTTCTTTGAAAAGGGCAGGGGGTGATGAGGTGAATTTGGGGCCCTTGGGGAATTGGGGTTGTGTGAAGGCGGCTAAGTGTTGGGGTTCCTTTTGGGGGCTACAAGGGAGGGGCAGGGGAGAGTGAAGGGGGGCTGAGTTGGGGAATTGGGGGTCGTGTGAAGGCAGCCACTGTTGGGGTTCCTTTTGGGGGAGTATGAGGGGGAAAGGAGGGGAGGGGGCTGAGTTGGGGGCTTTCTTTGAAAGGGACGGAGGGGGGTGATGAGGTGAATTTGGGGCCATTGGGGAATTGGGGTCGTGTGAAGGCGGCTAAGGTTTCCTTTTGGGGGGTACAAGAGAGAGGCAGAGGGAAAGGTGGTGGGGGCTGAGTTGGGGAATTGGGGTCGTGTGAAGGTGGCTAAGTGTTGGGGTTCCTTTTGAGGGAGGGATAGGAGAAAGTGGGGGAGGCTGAGTTGGGGGGTTTCTTTGAAAGGGACGGAGAAGGGTCTGAGGTGAATTGGGAGCCATTGGGGGTCGTGTGAAGGCAGCCAGTGTTGGGGTTCCTTTTGGGGGGAGGTATGAGGGAGAAAGTGGAGGAGGGGGCTGAGTTGGGGGGTTTCTTAGATAGGGGCGAGGGGGGGAGTGTGTGTGTGAGGTGAATTTGGGGCCATTGGGGAATTGAGGTCGTGTGAAGGCGGCTAAGGGTTCCTTTTGGGGGGTACAAGGGTGGGATAGGGAAAGGGGGGCTGGGTTTGGGGGTAGTTTTAAAGTGGCTGTGGGAGGGAGGCATAGGGGGAAGGTGGGGGGGGGCACTGGCTTGTGGGCAATCCCACCGCATTCATCTCCAGCTGGGGGGAATTTGGGTCGTGTGAAGGCAGCCAGTCTTGAGGTTCCTTCTGGGGGTTGTGAGGGAGGGATAGGGGAAGGTGGGGAGCATGGGTTGGTGTTTCTTTTAAAGAGGCAGTGCGAGGGAGGGGGAGACAGGAAGATGGGGGAGGGCTGGGTTGGTGGGACCACAGGCAGGCACAGCGGCCAGCCAGCCAGCCAAGTTTTGGTTGTATGAATGTAGGCAGGGTTGGGTTTATTTTGGGGGGGGGCAGTATGAGGGAGAGGCAGACGGGAAGGGGGCGCTGGATTCTGGGAGTAATCCCTGCTCTTTCAGCTGCCAGCTAGTGGAGTTTGGGCCAAGAGGGTTGTGTGAATATGAGCCATGTTGGGGTTGCTTTTGGGGGGGCGGCAGGAGGGAGGGACAAGAGGAAGGTGGAGGCTGGGGGGAACACCCTGCTCATCCGCCCTCCAACTGGGGTTTTGGGGTTCTTTTAAGGGGTGGAATAGCAGGGTTTGGGAGAGGATCCCAAGTGCTCAGAGACCAGCCGGTCATGTGAACGCAGACGGGGTTGGCTCTTTTGGGGGGTGGGAATGAAGGAGGGGCCAATGGGAGGTGGGGGGACACTCAGACACCGTGTTGGGGTTCCTTTTGTGCGGTGATACGAGGGAGGGACGAAAGGGAAAAGACCCCTCTGGGGGGCAGCTCAGACGCCAGCTAGCCAAGGTTGGGTTGTGTGAACATGGGTGGAGTTGGGGTTGTTTGGGGGGGTCTGTGTGAGGGCGGGATACGGGGTGTGGGACAGCTGGATGGGGGACACCCCACATACTCATCCCCCAACCATGAGAAGCTTTAAAAATATTCAAATCCATCTTGGTTACCCATTTACACTCAGTTGGTAAATCTAGATTAAGATTTAGCATTAAGATTAACAGAGTTGGAAGGGACCGTGCAGGTCATCTAGTCCAACCCCCCAGCCCAAGCAGGGTCTCCTACATCTGCCTCTACCTAGGATCAAACTCGGAACCTCCTGATTGTGAGGCAAGAGCTCCACCTGAAGTGGAGCTCTTAAGTGAATGTGGCTTCCCACATTGGCTCTGCTTGTCAGAAGGTCGCAAAAAAGGATCACGTGTCACTGGGGCACTGCAACCATCATAAGTACATGCCAGTTGCCAAGTGCCCAAATTTTGACCACGGGGATGCTGCAACCGTCGTAAGTGTGAAAAACAGTCATGTCACTTTTTTTAAGTGCTGTTGGTCACTAAAATGCTGGCTGGGGAATTCTGGGAGTGGAAGTCCACCCATTTTAAAGCATAGCTGGCTGAGGGATTCTGGGAGTGGAAGTCCACCTGTCTTAAAGCATGCTGGCTGGGGGAATTCTGGGAATTGAAGTCCACCCATCATAAAGCTGCTGAATTTGAGAAACATCGGTTTTTTAAGTTGATAAAGGTTGCTTTCCTGCAAGACAAACCAAGTTTGGCTTTGCTTCTAAAAATATTGGCATGCCACCACACCGTCCACCCTCTCAGGGGACAGGAAACCCCCCCCCAACAAGCCAAGATGGCTGAGTGGAGTGTTCAGAAGGACAAACTGCTGAAACCCCCAAATCTTGGAAAAATTACGATTTTCCAACTTCCATGAGAAAAGGGTCACTGTAGTAGCTGTGAGGTTCAGGCGCCCCTTGTGGCTTCTAAGGAGCCCTGCATTTTGAAAAAAACGTTTTTTTAATTCAAATTTATTTTATTGAATTTAATTCATTGCATTAGAAATGCAGCTCAGGGTAGATTTTCCGTGCGACTCTCATTTGGTATTGGTTTTATTTCTTTTAATCATTTCTTAAGATTTGCTTGCTGCCCATCTCGTTTGGTTTGCTGCTTCTCTTATTATTAGGGGGTATATTAATATTTAGGAAAGGGGACCACCAGGTAACTTTTCTGCCCCGTTTCGCTGGAGTTCTCTTTGTCCTGGTGAGAAGCCACTCTGAATTTCTGATGGATAACAAGAGTGAGATCTTTGATCAAAGGCTGAATGCTTTCCTTGGCGGTATCCTTTTTTTTTTTTACAATGAGTACTTTGCCTTATTTAATGGTAGAATGGTAGAATCTAGTATTGGAAGGTGACCTTGAGGTCATCCAGCCCAACCCTTGCTCAGATTTGAGTCAGGGAAGACATCTTTTTCTTCTTAGGACTGGATTTCCAATCTTGTTTCCTGGCCTACCTCAAAGGGAGGTTTCAGTACAGCATAATTCTTACACATGATCTGCAATGTTGCATAAATGATAGCTAGTCCTTAACTTACAACTGGTTGCTTAGCAGTCATTCAAACTTACAAAAGACACCCGCCCCACCCCCCCAAAAAACCAAAATATTTACCAATGGACTGGCCCCAGGTCATGTGATCACATTTGGGATGCTTTGCCAAATTTGTGTCCGTTTGCAGCATCAACTAACCATGATTCATGGTTTTGTCAGAAACTGGTTTCTGGCACAAACCATCATAGCGAACAATGGGTTCGCTTAAACAACCGTCGCATTTACTTAACAACCTCCCCAAAAAAAGATGGAAAAATTGGGTGCAGTCACATGGAGACCTACTTAATGACCAGCATTCAATTGTGGTCATAAGTCAAGGACTACCCATATTTAAAGTATCTCTTTTTAGAGAGACTAAGAAATTTTATGGGGTCAGAAAGTGAGAATTTAGGTTTTTTTGGTAGGTTCATGTCTTGACATTAGCTGACTGACTTTTGCTATATTACAGTGATGGCTAACCTTTTTGTCATTGCATGCCAAAAGCGGGGGAGTGCGGGGGGGATCATGCATGCACATGCCCACACTCATAATTCAATCGCACCCGTGCCCCGCCCCCACACATTTGTGCACGACCCCCCCCCCGCACTTCTCCCGCTTTTGTCATGCGATGGCAAAAAGATTACCGGTGGGCCGGGTAGGCCTGTTTTTTGCCCTCCCCAGGCGCCAGAGGTTTTCTTGGAGCCTGGAGAGTGTGAAAATGGCCTTCCCCACCCATCCACCTCGAGGCCATCCGGTAGGCCCTTAAGGCCTGAAAATCAGCTGGCCGGCGCACTGAGCTAGGGTAACACTTGCGTGCCCACAGATACGGCTCCACGTGCCACATGTGGCACGCGTGCCATAGGTTCTCCATCACGGCTATATTATTTTGGAACTTTAGGGAAATAATGGCGTGCGTCAGTCCTTGTGACTAGAATGGCCTTTGAAGACGAACCATCCAGAGTTAAAAAAAATAAACCGTTAAGAAATACTACGCGGAGTAACGCTCAATCTTGGAGAAGATATCCAGATGTTGGGATGTGTCTCCACCTAGAAAGACCAGAATCGTGCAAAACACGGTTTTCCCTGTGACCATCTATAGAAAGTTGGGACTTTGGTGAAGAAGGAAAGGAAGAGTATTGAAGACTTAGAACTTTGGTGTTGGAGAAGACAACTGAGAGGACCACGGATGGTCAAGAAAACCAACCAATAGATCATCAAACAAGTCAACGCAGAGTTCTCCCTCGAGACACAAATGACCAGGTTCAAATCATCCCATGATGTGAAGACCCAACTTTCTGGAGAAGAAGACTCTCTGATACTGGGAAAGGTGGGAGAAGAAGACAACCAACAGTAAGGTTGAGGGACTCAAATTATGGGGCCACCATTGGAAGAACTGAAAGATTAAATTGGGGACAGATCTTCCTGGAGAAAAATATTACCCTGTTTCCCCGAAAATAAGACCCAATCAGAAAATAAGTCCTAGCATGATTTTTCAGGATGCTCGTAATATAAGCCCTACCCCCAAAATAACCCCCCATTAAGATTGTCAGCCAGATGGATGCATTTAGTACCATATTTCCTCCAAAATAAGACCTAACCAGAAAATAAGCCCTAATTCTTTTGGAGCAAAAATTAATATAAGACCTGGTCTTATTTTGGGGAAAACATGGTATCTATGAGGTCACTAAGAGATGACACTGAATTGATGGCATATAATCAAACTGGAAGACCCAGTTCTCTGGAGGAGAAGCTCTGATGCTAGAAAAGCTGAAAGAAAAGAGGACAACTAATAGCCAGGTGTAGGGGACTCAGTCACAATGCTAATGGGAACATCACTGGAAGACTTGAAGAAACACATTGGGGAAGAATTCCTTTGAATTCTGGGTACTGGAGAAGACTCCTGAGAAGATCATGGAAAGCCATGAAAACACCTTGATGGATCATTGAAATAAATCAACCCAGTTCTTGCTCAAAACATCAGTGAGCAAGCTCAAACAATCCTATTTTGGACATATGCTGTGTTTTAGAAGTTTGGAGTAGTCCATAATTGTGGGGAAAGTAGGAGGGAGGAAGAGGGGAAGGGGAAGGAAAAGGAGGAGGAGAACAAAAGAAGAAACAAAAGAAACGCAAAAGAAGAAAAGGAAGAAGAAAGAATAGAAGGAGGAGGAAGAGGAAAAGAAGAAGAGGAGAGGAGGAGGAGAGGAAGAAGAAACAAAATTAATCACAAAAGAAGATCCGGGGGGATCTGGACTCTGACTGGGTAGATCAGGGCAGGGTGACGAGGAACAGTCTTGAGAATGTTATCTGGGAAGAGTTTGATGCTGTGACTCCCGATGATGTGGACAGGATTTTGGGGAGACTTAGTGCGGCCACATGTTTACTGGACCCGTGTCCCTCCTGGTTGGTACTGGCTTCCCGGGAGGTTACACGAGGCTGGCTCCAGGGCGTCATTAATGCTTCGTTGAGTGAGGGTCACTTCCCCGCTGCCCTGAAAGAGGCGGTGGTGAGGCCTCTCCTCAAGAAGCCGTCCCTGGATCCAGCAATATTGGCCAACTATCGTCCTGTTTCCAACCTTCGCTTCATTGCGAAGGTTGTTGAGAGTGTGGTCGCGCAACAGTTTCCGCAATTCCTGGAGGAAACATCCTATCTAGATCCGTTCCAGTCAGGTTTCAGGTCTGGGCACAGCACGGAAACGGCATTGGTCGCGTTGGTGGATGATCTCTGGAGGGCTCGGACAGGGGTTATTCCTCTGTTCTGGTCCTATTAGATCTCTCAGCGGCTTTTGATACCTTCGACCATGGTATCATGCTGCACCGGCTGGAAGAGTTGGGGGTGGGAGGCACTGTGTTGCGGTGGTTCTCCTCCTTTCTCTCCGACCGGTCGCAGTTTGTGTTGGCAGGGGGGCAGAGGTCGACCTCGAGGCCTCTCATCTGTGGAGTACCGCAGGGATCGGTCCTCTCGCCCCTTCTGTTCAACATTTATGTGAAGCCGCTGGGCGAGATCATCCGTGGCTTTGGGGTGAGATACCACCAGTACGCTGATGACACCCAGATGTACATCTCCACCCCAGGCCACCCCAACGATGCCCTTGAAGTGATGTCCCAGTGCCTGGAGGCTGTGCGGATCTGGATGGGGAGGAACAGGCTCAGGCTCAACCCTTCCAAGACTGAGTGGCTGTGGCTCCCGGCATCCCGATATAGTCAGTTGACTCCATCGCTGACTATTGGGGGCGAGTCCTTGGCCCCCACTGAAAGGGCTCGCAATCTGGGAGTCCTCCTGGATAGGCAGCTGTCTTTGGAGGAACATCTAACGGCTGTTACCAGGGGGACCTTTTATCAGGTTCGCCTGATTCGCCAGTTGCGGCCCTTTCTTGATCGGGATTCCTTGTGCACAGTCACTCACGCCCTCGTCACCTCTCGCCTTGACTACTGTAACACTCTCTACATGGGGCTCCCCTTGAAGAGCACCCGGAGGCTCCAGCTGGTCCAGAATGCAGCAGCGCGGGTAGTGATGGGAGCAACATGGCGCTCCCATGTAACACTGCTCCTGCGCGAGCTGCACTGGCTCCCGGTGGTCTTCCGGGTGCGCTTCAAGGTGTTGGTTATCACCTTTAAAGCGCTCCATGGCATAGGGCCTAGTTATCTCCGAGACCGCCTGCTGCTACCGACGACCTCCCATCGACCCGTGCGCTCCCACAGAGAGGGCCTCCTCAGGGAGCCATCAGCCAAACAATGTAGGCTGGTGGCCCCCAGGGGGAGGGCCTTCTCTGTGGGGGCTCCCACCCTCTGGAATCAGTTGCCCCCGGAGATAAGAAGAATCCATGACCTCAATGCCTTCCGTCATTCCCTGAAAACCTATCTTTTTCAGCAAGCCGGGTTGGCTTAGAAGAAATTTTTAAACTCTTTTAATTAGTTTGTGATTCTTAACTTTCGGGCCAAAATTTATATATATTTTTTAATGTTTTAATATTTGTATTCTATGTTTTTTATCTTGGCTGTACACCGCCCTGAGTCCTCAGGGAGAAGGGCGGTATATAAATTGGAAATTAAATTAAATTAAATTAAATTAAAGAAACACAAAAAGAAGGAAGAAGAAAAGATGGCTCCAACAGCACCATGGAAATTCACCCTGTTTTTACACACATCAAAAATCGGGAGCTTTTGTCGACTGGTCAAAGCTGCCATCTTGACTTTTTTGACCACATCTGGGGACCTCCTAGGAGCACAGCATTAACATTGCTGATGGAAACCCTGAAGCTGACCTAACCGAAGCAAACTTGAAGCTTCAGTGCTGCCACATCGGAGCTGAGGGATGAGGGTGGGGAGGGGGGAAGAGATTAGAGATAGCTGGGGTTGTGTAGTCAAAATAAAATGCTTTCTCTTGGGAACCAAGGACGTTCTCGCATCTGGTCACAGGGAGGAGGAGTGATGTCACCAGGCAACCAGACAGTGCCTTGATTGGACCATGTGACTGATAGTTTTGAGAAAGTAACAAACGTTTACTTTTTATTAGGTGAAAACCGCGGAAACCTTCAGAGTCGGCTTTCACCAGCCTGTGCCAATATGATATATCCAATAAATGTATTATTTGAGGAATCTATCCGCCTGAGTTTTGATTGCTGTGGTTATATTACTTGGTACCCTGATAGCTGATGGAAACCACGAGTGGTCAATCAAACCTTCAACAGTTTTCTTAAAAACAGGAATTTTATCAATGAACGTATACAGAAGACACCTGGATTTATTCCAATGTGGGGTTTTTTTCTTTCTTTTTTAATATCTATTTTTATTTTATTCCAAAAAAGTTAAAATACAAAACACCATTTAAAAAAAAAAAAAAAAAAAATTTAAACACCTGGATTTATTCCAATGTGATTTCCCAAACACCTTTAAAGGCGAGTTAAGTCTTTCCATCACGTTGAGAAATCACGTCCAGCGGGTTAGTCCAGGCCGATGGTAGAGGAGCAACTGTCCCATGGGATCAGATCCAAGCTGGATCACTTTTAGATCCTCTGGGATGAACACTGATGAGGTGAGAAGGTCTCCCCTTCCAACAGGCTGCCCTGTCCAGTCCTCCCATGCTGTACAGTTCTCAGAGCAGAAGATGGATGAGAACCCCCAAAACCAAGATGGCAACTGCTAACAGCAGTGCCAGTCCACGCCGGAGAAGAAGTTGCTTGCAGGTTAAGGCACCTGGTGTCGGAGAAGTGATAAACTGGGGCATCTCTTCACTGGGAAAGGGTTGATGATCCCCTAGGTTTTCACCCGGATGGACAAGACAACTGAGGGTATCTCCGTTGGGCACCTCCAAATTCATCGCAAGATAATCTGTGTATAGACCACATTCAAAGGAGTAAATGTTACTGATTGATACGCTCGACATGGCCATCTGATGCTGGTGAATACACAGTAGGCCTGGCCTCAGAACCACAACTGGGTCACTTACTGTCTCATCCCAACCCACCTCACAGGATTGTTCTGGTGGGGAAAAAGAGGAAGGTGTATTGGATATATTCGCCATCTTGAATTATTTGCAAAAATAATAAAGGTGGAATCCAGAGAAATAAATAAAATAGATGGCCTTGCATTGACCAAATGTAAAATGCAGTCAGTGAATAAATACATTGAATAAACCTTGTTAAGAGCCAACGGGTGCTTTTAAAAGTTCTTCAAAAGTTTTTCACATTCTTTTAAAAAAAACAAAAAGGCTTCCTTTTGAAAACCACACACGTCACATCACATCACATCACACAAAGAGTAAGGGATAGGGCGTTTTTACCTGCACTAACAGAATCCTCAGCACTTCCTTGTCTGACTGTTAGTCCAGCTCGAATCTGAGCCTAAGAGAAACAAACAAGCAGAACAATATTGAAGACTCTGTGAAGAGTCAGGATGCCATAGTACAGGGTGTTAAACTCAAGGCCCGGGGAGTGGATCCAGCCCACGGGATCCTTAGATCTGGCCCGCAGGGCTGCCCTGGAAACAGCAAAGGACCGGCCCGTGGTGCCACTGCCAGTGAAAACAGAGCTCGGGAGGGCTGCGTGCGGCCGGCCGAGCTCCGTTTTCGCTGGCAGAGTGCTCGGGCCTCCGCGCCCAGACACGAGTGACGTTGAGCTGGCCCTGACCACGCCCACCACGCCCCCTCGAGGTCAAACAACCCTGATGCAGTCCTCAAATCAAGTTTGACACCCGTGCCATAGAAGTTCATGGTTTGCTGTTGTTCTGAGCCAAACCCATGAACCATTCCTCTGCTGGTACTACTGAGGACAAGGCGCGATCAAATCTGCAGGCAGAGATTTACCTCTTCGGCGGCTTTTTTCCAGTTCATGCGTAAGACGACAACCAAGAAGGATGCGGCTTGCAGAGAGATGCAGACAATTAAACCGGTCCACAGGCCTGCAAGGAGAGCAAGAGGTTGACTCCAGAGCCCTGTTTCTCAACCTCTGCAGCTTTAAGACGGGTAGACTACAACTCCCAGAATTCCGTCTCTCCCATGGGAATCCTGGGAGTTGAAGTCCACCTGTCTTAAAGTGGCTAAGATTGAGATACATTGTCTAGACTAGAATTTAAAGCTGTGTATAAAAGCCTCCTCCCGTTTTCCCCCCTTAACAACCCTGCGAGGTGGGTTGCATCAAAATTACTCTGGGCTGAGGAGGGGATTGCCAGCTAGGGAATTCTGGGACTTGAAGTCCACCCATCTTAAAGCAGGCTGGCTGGGGAATTCTGGGAGTAGAAGCCCACTCCTCTTAAAGCATGCTAACTGGGGAATTCTGGGAGTTGAAGTCCACCCCTCTTAATGCATGCTAACTGGGGAATTCTGGGAGTTGAAGCCCACCCCTCTTAATGCATGCTAACTGGGGAATTCTGGGAGTTGAAGCCCACCCCTCTTAATGCATGATAACTGGGGAATTCTGGGAGTTGAAGCCCACCCCTCTTAATGCATGCTAACTGGGGAATTCTGGGAGTTGAAGCCCACCCCTCTTAAAGCATGCTAACTGGGGAATTCTGGGAGTTGAAGTCCACCCCTCTTAAAACATGCTAACTGGGGAATTCTGGGAGTTGAAGCCCACCCCTCTTAAAGCATGCTAACTGGGGAATTCTGGGAGTTGAAGTCCTCCCCTCTTAAAGCATGCTAACTGGGGAATTCTGGGAGTTGAAGTCCACCCCTCTTAAAGCATGCTAACTGGGGAATTCTGGGAGTTGAAGTCCACCCCTCTTAAAGCATGCTGGCTGGGGAATTCTGGGAGTTGAAGTCCACCCCTCTTAAAAACTGCTGAGGTTGAGAAACACTATTTTAGTGAGTTTGCCTGTGGAACTCACTGCCACCAGATGGGCAGGGAACCCACTGTGACTGTCCTCAAGGGGATCTCAAACACTGCACGAGGCACATCTGGCTGGTGCTCCTAAGAGTCCCACTGACTGAGCCGAACATCTGGAGGAGGGCAGATTGCAAAGGGGAAATGGCATCTCCCGGCCGGCTCACCCATGACGCCCAGCTTGTACACGAACATCAGCGTAATCCCGATGGGCAACCCGATGACGTAGTAGCCCACCGCGTTGGCGATAGCGCCAATTTTCTGCTTGCCGGCGCCCCTCAGCACCCCTCCGCAAGTGGCCTGGCGAATGGAGGCAGAGCAGAGAGGTTAGGGCAATCCTCTAAAAGAGTCTCCGAGAAGCGTCACTCAATCCTGAGATAAGGATGGCTTAAAATCCCACTCGGCTGGCCTACCTCACAAGGTTGTTGTCCTGAAAACAGGCACATTCTGTCGAGCTGCTTGGAATAAGCCCAGGGAATGCGGCTGCCGCAAAAGACACAAATCCGTTTTCAAAAGTTTCTACGATTTTAGAGCCGCCATCCATCTGCAAGTGTGGGGGCTCTCCTGGCGTGTCTCTGCATGATGCCCTGTTCTGGCATCTCAACTAATATAGGTAGTCCTTGACTTACAACAGTTCATTTAGTGACCGTTCAAAGTTACAACGGCACTGAACAAAATGACTTAGGGCCATTTTTCACACTTAACGACCATCGCAGCGTTCCCCCATGATCATGTGATCAAAACTCAGATGCTTGGACACTGACTCATATTTATAATAATAATAATAAATAATAATAATTTTATTTCTATACCGCCCTTCTCCCGAAGGACTCAGGGCGGTGTACAGCCTATTTAAAAACACAGAAACAAAACAACAATTAAAATTTAAAATCATTAAATAATTAGGCTCCAATTAAAATCCCAGAAATTTAAAATACCCCAATTTAAAACGTTATGTTAATAGCTATGTTTATGACGGTCGCAGTGTCCCCAGATCACATGATCCCCTTTTGCGACCTGACCAGCAAAGTCAACGGGGACGCCCGATTCGCTCAACAACCGTGCTAGTAACCGAACAGCTGCAGCGACTCACTTAACAACTGCGGCAAGAAAAGTCGTAAAACGGGACAAAGCTCACTTAACAACCATCTCGCTTAGCAACAGAGATTTTTGGGCTCAATTGCGGTCATAAATTGAGGACTACCTAGAGGGGTTCAGAGCCCACTTCGACCTGCAGGAGAGACCCTCCTGGTGTGTCTCTGGATGATGTTGTGTTCTGGCTTCCTGACTAGTGTCTCTGCATGATGCCCTGTTCTGACCTCCCAATCAATATTCACTGATCCTGCCTTGCAGGCAAGTAGATTGTACGTCTGAATCTGAGGTAACCTGGGCCCCACACCTCAAAATATTACTTTCTTCTGACCCACACAGTCTGCTCACACTTCAGGTCCTGCCAATGCTAGGACTCCCTTGAGGACTAAAATCCAAATAAAAGCAGTCATAAAAAAGTCATTTATCCAACCGCTACGATTTCCACCGGAACGGGATCTATTTGTAATCATGAGGACTAGAAACCTGCTCCTTTTAAAAGTTCAAAAAAAAAAAGAGAACTTAATAAAAGTTCTTTTTTTTTTTAACTTTTAAAAGGAGCAGGTTTCTAGTCCTCAGGGCTACAAAGTCCGTTTGGGAGCCAAGAGCATCCCACCCACCCCCAACCCGTGGTGTTGCGCAACGCCGGAAACTCACCGCTGTGGCATCGAACAGGTGAAACGGTGAGAAAATCAGCATAACTTTGGAGACCAAAGCAACAATTTCTCTATTGAGGGAAAAAGATATATATATATATATATTAGGAGATCTGAGTTCTAAAGTGTGCACGTGTTGTGACCCGTCAGCAGCCTGTGCAGCTAGTAGCTGATTCTGACAGCGAGGAGGGTGGTGTGGTGCTGTGCCAGCAGCCTGTGCAGCTGGCGCTTGAGTCGGACAATGAGGAGGCTGGAGAAGATGTGGTGCCAGAGGCAGGGATTCACCCAGGGCCTTCAGAACCTCCAGAAGCTTCCATGGGTGAAGAGGAAGAAGAGGAGGAGCCTCTTCTCGATGCACGGGCGCGCAGAGCTGCCAAAAAGCAGGAGTGGCTCCTCAGGAGGAGGTCTCCTCGAGAGTAAGGCTTGGGGCTAATTGACCACTCCCTTAGCCTATTTAAGAAGGAACGCCGACTGAAGCAATTTGTAGGGAACAACTTTAGTTCATTCTCCTTCGCGTCTGGATTCTCTGCAAATTGCTTCTGGGCTTTCTGCCAACCTTAGTAAGATTGTGATTACTTTATCTTTGGTTTCTTGTAGGCTGTTAAGAAAGTTTATTAACAGCCTTTGTTTTGAAAAAGACTTGAGTTATTTTAGTAAATTAAGTTTTGTACAAACTTTGTGTCTGCTGCGTTCTTTGGGGTCCGTAGCTGGGGCAGAACAGCACGGGAAAAAGTCCATTGGAAAATATAGGTAGCCTTAAACTTACAAACATTCATTTGGCATCCGTTCAAAGTTACAACAGCACTTAAAAAAAAGATTTATGGCCAGTCCTCGCACTTACGACCATCGCATCGACTGGCCCTGTTTGTGTGTGTTTGTGTGTGTGTCATCACAACTTTGGAAACAGTTTTAGTAAGCAAGTTTTGGCGGCTCCGTTGTAAGTTCGAATGGTCGTTAAACAACCGGTCGTAAATCGAGGACAGCCTGTACACGCAAAGGCATGACGGGCAGACTCCCATTCCTGCCTCCCTTCCCTTCCCTTCCTGGGGCGTCTTGAGAAAAAGAGGAAAAAAAAAACGAGGAGAGGCGCTCACTTGTCGTCCGTGAAGATGTAGGCCACCACGTCCTTCAGGGCCGCCAGCAGCGCCGCGAAAACCACCGCAAGGACCCCTGGGAAGGCAGAGGGGAGGGTTTTAGGGTCTGAAACGTGGGTCCCGGGGGGTGGGGTGGGGGCATGTGCCAAAGGTTTCAGTCACACACACCCCTTCGCTGCTCTAAGGACCCCAAACGATGCCTTGGGAGGGTGGCTGTGGGGGGTGTCGTCCAAGGCATTTTACAAGTGGGGAGGGATAAATTGGGAGTTAAAGAAGCCAAGGGAGTCAAAGTAAGATCTCCCTCTCCATATTTATCTATATACCTATCTATCGAATTACCTATCTATCCATCATTCATATCTATCTAACTACCTATCTATCAATCATTCTGAATCAATCTATCATCTATCTATCTATCTATCTATCTATCTATCTATCTATCTATCTTTATCCATCCACCCATGTATCCATCCCTATCTCTATCTTATCCTTCTATCATTTACTCATCCATTTCTCTATCTATTTCTCTATTTCGCTCTCTCTCTCTCTCTATTTATCTTCATCCATCCATCTATCCATCTCAAATCTAACTACCTATCTATCAATCATTCTGAATCTATGTATCTATCAATTTGTATCTATCTAATTTATCTCTATCATTATCCATCCATCCATCCCTATCTCTATCTTATCCTTATATCATTTACCCATCCATTTCTCTATCCATTTCTCTATCTATCTATCTATCTATCTATCTATCTATCTATCTATCTTCATCCATCCATCCATCTCAAATCTAACTACCTATCAATCATTCTGAATCTATGTATCTATCTGTATCTATCTAATCTCTATCTATTTATCTATCTATCTATCTATCTATCTATCTATCTATCTATCTATCATTATCCATCCATCCATCCATCCATCCATCTCTATCTTATCCTTCTATCATTTACCCATCCATTTCGCTATCTATCTATCTATCTATCTATCTATCTATCTATCTATCTATCTTCATCCATCCATCCATCCATCCATCCATCTCAAATCTAACTACCTATCAATCATTCTGAATCTATGTATCTATCTGTATCTATCTAATCTATCTCTATCTATCTATCTATCTATCTATCTATCTATCATTATCCATCCATCCATCCATCTCTCTTATCCTTCTATCATTTACCTATCCATTTCTCTATCTATCTATCTATCTATCTATCTATCTATCTATCTATCTATCTATCTATCTTCATCCATCCATCCATCCATCCATCCATCCATCCATCCATCCATCTCAAATCTAACTACCTATCAATCATTCTGAATCTATGTATCTATCTGTATCTATCTAATCTCTCTATCTATCTATCTATCTTCATCCATCCATCCATCCATCCATCTCAAATCTAACTACCTATCAATCATTCTGAATCTATGTATCTATCTGTATCTATCTAATCTATCTCTATCTATCTATCTATCTATCATTATCCATCCATCCATCCATCCATCTCTATCTTATCCTTCTATCATTTACCCATCAATTTCTCTATCTATCTATCTATCTATCTATCTATCTATCTATCTTCATCCATCCATCCATCCATCCATCCATCTCAAATCTAACTACCTATCAATCATTCTGAATCTATGTATCTATCTAATCTATCTATCTATCTATCTATCTATCTATCTATCTATCTATCATTATCCATCCATCCATCCATCCATCCATCCATCCATCCATCTCTATCTTATCCTTCTATCATTTACCCATCCATTTCTCTATCTATCTATCTATCTATCTATCTATCTATCTATCTTCTATCATTATCCATCCATCCATCCATCCATCCATCTCTATGTTCAACTCCCAGGATTCCCCAGCCGGCATGAACCCCACCCCCTCCTTGGCTTAAAGAGACATACACACCGGTGCAAAGGAGGGCCATGATGCACGACCTCTTGGCCTGGTCAGCATCCCCGGCGCCCAAGGCGTTCCCCACGCGGACACTGGAGGCCACGCTCATGCCCTGTGGAAGCTGAGAAAAAGCTTGTGTGAGTGTAGTCCTTGGTCTTTCACCCGTTTGGAGAGAAAAGTCATAAAATGGGGCAAAACTCACTTAACAATGGTCTCGCTCAGCAACAGAAATTTTGGGCTCAACTGTGGTCGTAAATCGAGGCCTACCTGTACCAAATTCGATGGGTTTCAAAGCCCTTGTGGACCAAGATAATACTGTAAATCTTTACTTTCTATTAATTTTTTTAACCCTAGCAATGAGCTTTGCTGTTGCAGAGGACTTGTTGTCCCATATGTCTTGAGACGCAACAAGCAATTTTCCGTTTTACATAATGCTTCCTGCTTCTCACAGTCTCCCATAGGTGTTCATTCTTTCTCCTTCCCCGCCCTCCGAATTTAGCAAATTCTTACCAAGTATGCGATGGTCGACAGTTCGTAGATGATGGACTGAGCTCCTAATTCCACCGTACTCATTAACCCTGATAGGAGAGAAACATGGTAGAGATCAGGGTGGATAAAAATAGTACAGTGGTTTAAAGCACCCTGTTATTAACACAGCTGCCTGCAATTACTGCAGGTTCGAATCTCCCCAGGCTCAAGGTCGACTCAGCCTTCCATCCTTTCTAAGGTAGGTTAAATGAGGACCCAGTTTGTGGGGGCAATAAGCTGACTTTGTATAAATATACAAAAGGATGAAGGCTATTGCTTAACGCACTGTAAGCCGCCCTGAGTCTCCGGAGAAGGGCGGCATATAAATCAAATTTTTTTTAAAAAATGATTTTTTTAAAAAAATCAAAAAATCAGATTTTTTTTATTTAAATCGGATTTTTTTTAATTTAAATCGATTTTTTTTTAATTTTTATCGAATTTATTTTAATAAAAAACTTTTGGGGTAAAAATCTATCGGAAGATAGTTTTCTATTTAAGATACATAAATAATTTAGTTTATTCAGCATGAAATGGAGCTTAGTTATGTAGCAAGAGGCTGTATATTCTGCAACACTGGGACTATCGGTGAGTCAACGGTGGGTCAAAGGAGTAGCAGAGATGACAGTTGCTCTTTAAAAATTATGATTTAAATCGAGTTGATTTAAATCAAGCCTTTTTATACTAGGGATTTAAATCATGATTTAAATTGTGATTTAAATCAACTCGATTTAAATCAAATCCACCCTGGTAGAGATTCAGAAGAGTTACACAAAACAGTGAGACAAGCGGCAGATTGAACGGTAATACCCGTGTTTCCCCAAAAATAAGACCGGGTCTTATTTTCTTTTGGGCCTCAAAAGGGCTTATTTTCGGGAGATGTCTTATTTTTTTTCCATGTACAGGAGGCCCACTTCTTCTGCTTGCTTGTGGCGGGGAGACGGGACAGGAGGCCGCGTGGTATGCTAGAGCCGCTGCCACGAGGCAGGGGGGTAGAGTTGCCTCACGCACCCCACCCCAGCTTACCTCAGAGCCCCTGCAGCCAGGCCACCCACGCCCCAACACCTGCCTCGCCTTCCAGCCCCATCCAGCAGGACACTACGTGGCCACCGGCCCACTTCTTCTGCTTGCTCGCGGCCACAACGGAGCAGGAAACCGAACAACACACCAGTGCCGTGACCATGAGGCGAGGTGGAGGGTGGTGGAGCTGTTCCACACGCCAGGCACTGGCTTACCTCAGGGCCCCAGGAGCCAGGCCATCCATGCCCCGACACATGCCTCACCTTGCGGCTGCGAGCGAGCAGAAGAAGTGAGCCGGCGGCCACATGGGCACCTACTGCACATGGCTGTTGGTGCTGCCGCCACGTGGCAGGTGTTGGAGCATGGATGGCCTGGCTGCGGAGGCCCTGAGGTAAATTGGTGTGAGGTGCTTGCGGCGGCTCCACCTCCCACCTCATGGCCACAGCACTGCAAACAAGCAGATGGAATGGGCAGGCTCTTAAGTAGGGCCTATTTTGGGGGGATAGGGCTTATATCAGGGATGAAATGCTCCCAGTTCGGACCGGATCACCTGATCCGGTAGCGATGGAGGCGGGTGGTTCGGAGAACCGGTAGCTAAAATCCCTGCCCCCCCCTCCATTACCCAGCTGAAATTTTTAAAAAAGCATTTTTTCTACAACCTCTTTGGCCAAAAGAATGCTTTTAAAAGTAAAAAAAAAAAAAGCCTCTGATGATCGCGCGGCTCAGCTGGGAACACCAGAGGCTTTTAAAAGCATTTTTTCTACAACCTCTTCGGCTGAAGAGGTTATAGAAAAAATGTTTTTAAAGGGAAAAAAAGCCTCTGCTGATCAGGCAAGTCAGCTGGGATCGTCAGAAGCTTAAAAAAAAAAAAAAGCCTCTGCCGATCTGGCAAGTCAGCTGGGATCGTCAGAGGCTTTAAAAAAAAAAAAAAGAAAACCTCTGCCAATCAGGCAAGTCAGCTGGGATCGTCAGAGGCTTTTAAAAGCATTTTTTTACAACCTCTTCAGCCAAAGAGGTTGTAGAAAAAAATTGTTTTAAAAGTTAAAAAAAAAAAAAGTTGGCCACGCCCACTCAGTCATATTACCACTACCCCCACCCACCAAGCCACGCCCACAGAACTGGTAGTAACAAATTTTACATTTCACCACTGGTTTATATTATGCACAAATGTTAAAAAAAAAACATGCTAGGGCTTATTTTTGGGATAGGTCTTGTTTTTGGGGAAACAGGGTAGCAAAAATAAATATTCAAGAAATAGAATCTGCCTGCAAGCAAGAACTGGTGGGACCACAAAATAGACACAGTCGTGAATTTTGTCATCAACATTTGTCATTAATTAATTTAATTTAATTAATTCAATTTATATGCCGCCCCTCTCCGAAGACTCAGGGCGGCTCACAATACATTTTAAAAAATCATTATAAAAAACATTTAAAAATTAAAAACATTAAAAACTCATTCACGCCATTCATGGCCGGATCTCGCCAGATCACAAGAGAGAGATCAACGGCCCCAGGCCTGTCGGAAAAACCAGGTCTTCACCGCTTTTTGGAAGGCCAATAGGGTGGGGATGGTCATTAGCGAAGTCATCAACATTCCATTTTGCAGCTACTAAGATTGTTGGACGAGCAGGTACAAAATCAGCCGGGGAAGGAATCGAAGCCTCGTCAGTCAAACAGGAGGGCTCATTTATCACCAGCTTATCAAGTATTTAGGAGACGGGGGGCTTGGCAGCACAAGGACACAACAACCAACAACTTAATAGCCAGCCATCAACACCCCAATCAACAACTAAAAAGCCACGTACAACAGACACCATATAAGCCACACACAAAATGGCCCAAAGAATACACGAAAGCCGTCATAAATGAAGAAAGCTGTTAAGGAATTCGCAGCGTAACCCTTGAATAGCAAGGGTGTGCACATGAAAGCGATTGAGAGTAGATACGAATAAGCACAGCCAACACACAGATACACTGAGTTGTGTTTACTTTCAGGAAATAGTAAGGCACAATCCAATAAACAGTCCAGGTCATACACATATAAAGCAGGAGACAGCAAAACGACAGTCCAGGGATAATCCAATAACAAAGTCTTCTTACCAGTCGTTGTAGTCATTCACAATAAACAGTTCTTCTGGATTTGCAAACAGTAGCATACAGAGATATCAGAGAGCAAGAACGGCAAAGAGAAACAAACCATGTTTCTAGCTCCCTCATAAGGAGATTGGCTACAGAGCTAACCAATCAGGACACAGTATGATGCGATACAGCAGACTTAAAGCTATATTGATGGTTTATATATTGCCAACTCAACAAGGTAGGTAATACTCATTTCCTAACAAAAGCTAAATTGCTCTGGTATTTTAGAATTGAAACAGACAAGGCACAAAACTTTCTCGATATGAAAGACCAAAAAGTCCTGATAGTAGACATGAACGGCAGAAGAGAAGAGAAAGAACTGGAGAAGATCACAAAAATAACAAAGACCCGCAAATAGAAACAGAACGACTGTGGCAAGAGAAAGCAAAGGCAGTACCAAAAGTGATAGGCGTTTTGGGCGCAATCCCAAAACATCTGGAGCACCACTTGAACGCCATCGGAATTGACAAATTCCCCATTGGTCAATTGCAGAAGGCAGCTTTGCTTGGAACAGCTTATATCCTGCCACGAAACCTTGAATATTATTAAACAGCAACATCTGGCTATCCCAGATGCTTGGGAAGAACTTGAAAGGTGGACAAAAATGGCAAATGCTGTCTGAACATCTGGCCGGCTGGCTGAGCACCACTTGAACACCATCAGAATTGACAAATTCCCCATCGGTCAATTGCAGAAGGCAGCTTTGCTTGGAATGGCTTACATCCTGCCACGAAACCTTGAATATTATTAAACAGCAACATCTGGCTATCCCAGGTGCTTGGGAAGAACTTGAAAGGTGGACAAAAATGGCAATGTATTGTAAATATCTGGCTGGCTGGGTGAGCACTACTTGAACACCATCGGAATTGACAAATTCACCATCAGTCAATTGCAGAAGGCAGCTTTGCTTGGAACGGCTTACATCCTTGCCACGAAACCTTGAATATTATTAAAACATTCACACATCCGTCTATTCTAGGTCTTTGGAAGGACTCGATAGATGGACAAAAATGCCAGAATCCAGTCTGAATATCTGGCTGACCTTGCGACCGACCATCGTCATAATTAAAATAGATGCAGTTGGGGAAAACCTTTGAACCCACCATCGCATCACCGATAAAAACCAGACAATCTGATGGAATGCCATGTTGTCATGGCCCATGCAGAGAAATTTGGGGCTCGGTTTTGGCCGTAAATTGAGGGCTAAGTCCTTGACTTACGGCAGTTCACTTAGTGACCGTTCAAAGTTACAACGGCACTGAAAAAAAATGAGCGTTTTTCACACTCACGACCGTTGCAGCATCCCCGTGGCCACGTGATCAAAATTCAGAACTCTTGGCACCTGACTCATACTTCTGACGGCGGCAGTGTCCCGGGGTCATGTGATCCCCTTTGGCGACCCTCTGACGGGCGAAATCAACGGGGAAAGCCCGATTCACTTAACAACCGTGTTCCTGACTTAACAGCTGCAGTGTTTCACTTAACAACTGTGGCAAGGATGGTCGTAAAACGAGGCACTGTTTAAAACACTCATTTAACAAGTGTCCGTTTAAAATAGACTGTTTAAAACACTCATTTAACAAGTGTCTCGCTTAGCGACATACGTTTCAGGCTCGGTTGTGGTCGTAAGTCGAGGACTACCTGTATAACTCCACCTCACCGTAGCAGCAACTCTCCCAGCGAGACAACAAAGAGACCCCTGCTGGGTGAGAGAGAGAGAGAGAAAGGGTCAGGGGGTCTCACCTGCCAGGAAGCTCCCGATCTCAAAGGTCCACCACTCGATGCAGATCATAAACATGCTGGGCAGGGCCAGCCGGATGAAGGGACCCCATTCCTGCAAACACTCCATCGTCCAGCCTGTAAAACAAGATGGCCACCGTGTCAGGGCGAGGGGACTGGGTCTCTGGGTCCCTCTGCGTGGGTCTATGTCTGTTTGTGTGTCTGTGTGTGTGTCTTTGTGTCTCAATAACAGAATAACAGAGCTGGAAGGGACATTGGACATCGGAGGCCATCTAGTCCAACCCTCTGGTCAGGGAGGAAACCCTGCACCATTTCAGACAAAGGGTTGACTAGCCTCTTCTTAAAAGCCTCCGGTGTGGGAGCAGAGTCTGTGTTTGCGTGTCTGTGTATCTGTGTGGGTGTCTGTTTTAGAATTAGAATTAGAATTAGAATAACAGAGTGGGAAGGGACCTTGGAGGTCTTCTAGTCCAACCCCCTGCTTAGGCAGGAGATCCAATACCATTTCAGACAAATGGTTATCCAATCTCTTCTTAAAAACTTCCAGTGTTGGAGCATTTACAACTTCTGGAGACAAGTTGTTCCACTGATTAATTGTTATCACTTTCAGGAAATTTCTCCTTGTTTCTAGAATAGAATAGAATAGAATAGAATAGAATAGAATAGAATAGAATAGAATAGAATAGAATAGATGAAGTTGGAAGGGACCTTGGAGGTCATCTAGTCCAGCCCCTGCTTAAGCAGGAAACCCTACACCACTTTAGATAAATGGTTATCCAACTTCTTCTTAAAAACTTCCAGTGTTGGAGCATTCACAACTTCTGGAGGCAAGTAGTTCCACTGATTAATTGTTCTGCCAGGAAATTTCTCTTTAGTTCTAAGTTGCTTCTCTCCTTGATTAGTTTCCACCCGTTGCTTCTTCTCCTGCTCTCAGGTGTTTTGGAGAATAGCTTGACTCCCTCTTCTTTGGGGCAGCCCCTGAGATATTGGAAGACTGCTATCATGTCTCCCCTAGTCCTCTTCACTAGACTATCCATGCCCAGTTCCTGCAACCGTTCTTCATATGTTTTAGCCTCCAGTCCCCTCATCCTCTTGGTTGCTCTTCTCTGCACTCTTTCCAGAGTCTCAACATCTTTTTTACATCGTGGCGACCAAAACTGGATGCCGTATTCCAAGTGTGGCCTTACTAAGGCCTTATAAAGCGGTATCAACACTTCACCTGATCTTGATTCTCTCCCTCTGTTGATGCAGCCCAGAACTGCGTTGGCTTTTTTGGCAACTGCTGCACACGGATGGCTCATATTTAAGGGATTGTCCACTAGGACTCCCAAGATCCCCCTCACAGTTTGTCTATGTCTGCTTGTTTGTGTGTCTATGTATCTGTGGCGCATCAGTGTGTTTGTGTATCTGTTTGTGTATTTTCTGTGTGTGTGTGTGTCTATTTGTGTATTTGTGTCTGTGTGTCTGCATGCCGATGTCGGTATGTGTATCTGGTGTGTGTCTGTGAGCGTGTCTATGCCTGTGGGTTAGGATTATTTTTATTTATTTTATTTATTGGTTCAATTTATATATGCCGCCCTTCTCCGGAGACTCAGGGCGACTTACAATGCATTAAGCAACAGCCTTCATACTTTTGTATATACCTGCTTAGTAGGGCTTTCGGCCCCCCCTAAGCAGTGTTCTTTTTTATACAAAGTCATCTTATTGCCCCCACAATCCGGGTCCTCATTTTACCTACCTCGGAAGGATGGAAGGCTGAGTCCACCTTGAGCCTGGTGAGATTTGAACTCACAGTAATTGCAGGCAACTGGCAGCTAAGTGCTACTTAACAGCATTTTAGTCCGCTGCACCACCAAGGCTCTTTATCGTACCCCACCCAGTGTCAACTTTGGTAAGACGAGTGGCCGTATAAAAATAGAATAAATAAATAACTGTCTGAAAACAAGGGCGTTCCTTCTCACGAAAATAAAAGAGAGGAACAAAAGTTTTGCCAGCTGTTCCGGTGATTCTCTCAACGGTCGCCTCCCCCCTCCCTCCCCAGGTGGCAAAAATATTCCGCTTTTTCCTACCTCCCCAGGTTTCCTTATGGATCTTTTTCCACCAGACGAAGAGGAAGAGCAGAAACGCTTGCAGGTTCTGTGAAAGGGTGTTGGCCCAGGCTGAACCCCTGCGGGAGAGAGAGAAAGACAGAGAGAGAGAGAGAGAGAAAGAAGGAAAGAAAAACAGAAAGAGAAAGAGAGAAAGAGAGAGAAAGAGGGAAAGAAGGAAACAAAAAGAGAGAAAGAGAGAAAGAGACAGAGAGAGAGAGAGAGAGAGAGAGAGAAAGAAGGAAATAAAAACAGAAAGAGAAAAAGAGAGAGAGAAAGAGGAAAAAAAGTAAACAAAAAGAGAGAGAGAGAGAGAGAGGAAAGGCAAGAGAGGGAAAGAGAGAGAGAGAGAAAGAGAAAGAGAGTGAGAAAGAAAAAGATAGAAAGAGGGAAAGGAGGAAAGAAAAAGAGAAAGAGAGAAAGAGAAAAGGCAAGAGAGAGGGAAAGAGAGAGAGAGAGAAACAGAGAGAGAGAAAGAGAAACAAAAAGAGAGGGAAAGAGAAAGAGAGAGGGGGAAGAGAGAGACAGAAAGAGAGAGGGAAAGAGAGAGAGGAAAAGAGCGAGAGAGAGAAAGAGAGGGGGGAAAGAGGAAAAAAGAGAAATAGAGAAGAAACAAAGAAACAGAGAGAAAGAAAAACAGAAAGAAAGAAAGAGAAAGAAAGAGACAGAGAAAGAGAGAGAGAGAGGAAAGGCAAGAGAGAAGGAAAGAAAGAGAGAAAAAGAGAAAGAGAAAGAGTGAGAAAGAGACAGAAAGAGGGAAAGGAGGAAAGAAAAACAGAAAGAGAAAGAGAGAAATAAAGAAAGAGGAAAGGCAGGAGAGAGGGAAAGAGAGAGAGAGAAAGAGAAACACAGAGAGAGAAAGAGAAAGAAAAAAGAGAGGGAAAGAGAGAGGGGGGAAGAGAGAGACAGAAAGAGAGAGGGAAAGAGAGAGAGGAAAAGAGCGAGAGAGAGAAAGAGAGAGGGGGAAAGAGGAAAAAAGAGAAATAGAGAAGAAACAAAGAAACAGAGAGAAAGAAAAACAGAAAGAAAGAAACAGAAAGAAAGAGACAGAGAAAGAGAGCGAGAGAGAGGAAAGGCAAGAGAGAGGGAAAGAGAGAGAGAGAAAAAGAGAAAGAGAAAGAGAGTGAGAAAGAAAAAGAGACAGAAAGAGGGAAAGGAGGAAAGAAAGAGAAAGAGAGAAATAAAGAAAGAGGAAAGGCAAGAGAGAGGGAAAGAGAGAGAGAGAAAGAGAAACAGAGAAAGAGAAAGAAAAAGAGAGGGAAAGAGAGAGGGGGGAAAGAGAGAGGGAAACAGAGAGAGGAAAAGAGCGAGAGAGAGAAAGAGAGGGGGGAAAGAGGAAAAAAAGAGAAATAGAGAAGAAACAGAGAGAGAAACAAAGAAACAGAGAAAGAAAAACAGAAAGAAAGAGACAGAGAAAGAGAGAGAGAAAGAGAGAGAGAGAAAAAGAAAGACAGGGAGAAAGAGAAAGAAAGTCAGTCTTAATGTTTGTTTGACTGAACTCATGAGAGCTAGCAACTTCATTCTTCTTACAGGTAGATTTACAACCACAGCAGAGACCAGAATTTCTATCATTAAACAAGGCAGCTGTTAAATGCCTGACTGTACCCCCTCTTTTGCCACTATTGATAAGCATAACACTGCAGTCATTAAGTGAATCCAGCTTTCCCCATTGACTTTGTTCATCAGAATGTCGCAAAAGGGGATCACCTGACCCCGGGACACTGCGACCGTCATAAATATGAATCCATTGGCCAAGCGTCTGAATTTTGATCACCTGACCATGGGGATGCGGCAACGGTCGTAAGTGTGAAAAACGGTCCTAAGCCGCTATTTTTCCAGTGCCGTCCTAACTTCGAACGGTGACTAAACGAACCGCTGTAAATCGAGGACTACCTGTCTTCTGGAAGATTTCAAGCCGCCCCTCGGGCTGTTTCACCCGTGAGAAATTAAGAGCGTTACGTTTTGAACCCGAGACTTTGGGCCAACGGGAAAATCTGTCGCACTTACACCACGCCCAGTTTGAAGGTGTGCAGGAAAATGGTATTCATGATCACGTTCAACACGTTCACCACTACGCCGGTCACTACTTGAGGCAGGAGAACAGCCTGGAATGCAAGAAAAGGATCTGTGAACACAGGGGCATATTTCAGCAATGCTACGACGCAGGCGGAAGCTCAACTGGTTGAACTACAAAGCAAGGCCCAATGTGTAAGCTACCTGCAGGCCCCAGACTTCTGACTTTGGGGACAGAAACATCCTAAGTAGAGGCAGCTATTTCTCTCTCTGGGCACAATGAGAATATATCTGCCGAACAAAACTCTGTACTGGCAACAGGAAAGGCATCCGGCCAAAGAAAAACAGTTGCCCAGAACTCCACCCCGCAAGGGATTATGGAGTCGTTAAAAGAAGATGATGAAATATTTACAATATTTTTTATAGATATCAAATAGTGAAGATATTATTTGATTATACGTAGTGGATTTGTAGAGAATGAGATGAATAAGTTTATGCAAAGCTATTATGTAAGGAATGTTTCCAGGAAGAATTAAAATAAGTGTATGGGGTAAAAAGTAAAAATAAGGTTTTTATAATATAATTTATTCGAGATCGGCTAAAATATTTTGTTAATGTGTTAATGTATGTAAGGGTTGGAGATGTGATGGTTAATTGTAAATGGGCTCGGATTGTGTAATGCTGGAAGAAAGAAGATTTGTTTATTATTGAAGAACGGACAAGAACGAAGTTGGATTGATTACTTTCAAGCAATAACTTGTTTAAATAGTTATATTTAGATATGAACAAGGGGAGTTAAAGTGCAAAAGGGAGATAAATTTATAGATAGTTAGCTTATGTTTTTTTTTTATTTTTGTTAAATGCTATATCCTGGATTTGCTCTGGGAAGTCCGGGGGGGGGGAGTAGGAGGGGGGAGGAGGGAAAGGAAAATATGTGTAAAATTTTTAAAAACTTTTTAATTAAAAAAAAAAGATGATGATGACATAAGCTCTCACTGTGCATATGTAAACAATAAAGTGATCGGTATTTACCCATGTAGTAGGGCTGTATCCAGCAGTGGGTTTCACATTATGTTACTACCGGTTCTCCCTTCTCATCTTACCTTTCCTACTACCTTCTCCTATCTATGATTTATCACTTGTTGTATCTTATGATTAATGATTGTAACTATGATCTATATGATAGAAGACCTATCGCTTTGTTTATTTGCATGTACACTGCGAGCTTATGAACCGGAGACAAATCCCTTAGGGTGTCCAATCACGCTTGGCCAATAAAGAATTCTATTTTATGCTATTTCAGTGTTATCCTTCCTGGCAAATCAATGGGGAAGAAATGGAGGTAGTGACAGATTTTATCTTCCTGGGCTCCAAGATCACCGCAGATGGGGACTGCAGCCAAGAAATTAAAAGACGCTTGCTCCTGGGGAGGAAAGCTATAGCAAATCTAGACCGCTTACTAAAAAGCAGGAACATCACCCTGCCAACAAAAGAGCGTATAGTCAAGGCTATGGTTTTCCCAGTTGCTGTTGTGACCCCGACTCCCGAGCCTGTCCTAACAGAGGAAGGACTCAGAAGGTGATGGGAAGGAACTGATAAGGCCTCCCTCTCCAGGACCCTCCTCTCTGGCAATGCCTCAGGTTCCATCCGAAGGCCAGGAGGAACAGCCTGGAGGAAGGCATATCGGAGCACCAATTGATAGGGAGCGAGGAGGATGAATCCTGGCTTGATCCCAGGCAGCGTCGGAGGGAGAAGCGTGCGCAGCAATGGAAGAGGCGTGGGAGGGCCAGAGATTGAGCTGAGTCACGGAGGCACGCCCCACCAGGAATAAAAGTGGGTGGGGTTGCTCTTCAGGCTTTGTGACGGTCAAAGTTAAAAACCTGAGAGTCACATCGCTTTACCTGAAGTCTGGCTTGTGCATATTTGGATTGGACCTTGGCTAAACTCTTGCTTCATGGATTACTTTTTTGCTACTGGACCGGACTGAGGATAAACTCTCTCTCGCTTACTGTGAGTGAAAACGGTCTTGGCAGGCATTCGGCAGTTTGCTGCCAAAACCTTGGTCTGCCAAGAATTCTAATCTGTTTACCTAATAAAATATTGGCGGGCGTGCTTGGTATTACGTTTGCCTGTGTGAGGAAGGGGGACAGAACAGTTGCAATGTATGGCTGTGAAAGTTGGACCATAAGGAAGGCTGAGCGCCAAAGAATTGAGGCCTTTGAGGAGCTGGAGAAGACTCCTGCGAGAATTGAGGCCTTTGAGGTGCTGGAGGAAACTCCTGCGAGTCCCTTGGACTTCAAGGCGATCCAACCGGTTAGTCCTAGAAGAGATCAACCCTGACTGCTCTTTCCAAGGCCAGATCCTGAAGAGGAAACTCAAATACTTTGGCCACCTAATGAGAAGGAAGGACTCACTGGAGAAGAACCTAATGCTGGGAACGATGGAGGGCAAAAGAAGAAGGGGACGGCAGAGAACGAGGTGGCTGGATGGAGTCACTGAAGCAGTCGGCGTGTGCTTCAACGTAATGTGAATGATGTAGGAATAGTACAGGGTCAGCTATATGAACACTGAAGGACCCTCTTTATTCACATTATTATAAGAAAGAAATGCGCTTGTTTAGAGATTACACTAAATCAGCTAAATTCCATTCTTGGTAATATATATCTTCTGAGGGGCCTAGCTGTCAAGGATGCAAGGACATCCATATGAAACAAAAAGTTACTTATTATCCAAAGCAGCCATGAATCTACGCCTCAGCAATCACAGAACTGAGGAAGGTTGTTTAGCTAAGATAATCTTATGAACTAGAAAATAATGAAGGAATTTAGTAATTAGAAAGTGTCAATTATAATGTAACAAATGTATGTTAACCATATATGGAAAACTGCTGTGCTCGCAAAATCCTTTGTCTTGGAGATGTATAAAAGCAGTTGTATCAGAGCTCTTCTTGGTTCAGAATTGCAGATACAAATCTGATTCTGAAACTGCGCAATAAACCGTCTCTGGCTGACCCAGGAATGTTGTTTGGTCCCATCATTCCATAACAAATGGACTCCAGAGGATGGTAGAGGACAGGGAGGCCTGGAGGAACGTTGTCCATGGGGTCGCGATGGGTCGGACACGACTCCGCAAGTAACAATAATAACAAAAGCATTAGCCTAATCTGCTGCTTTTGAGGTATGGTTGCCTCTCCCAGAAAATTCTCCTTTTAACAACAGACGTACCTGACTTTGCAAATAACGTGTTTCCAGCTGGTAGATGAACGCGGCCTGAAAATGCAGCCCAAAAAGATTTAAATTAGTTTCTCTGATTGAAAATCATTTTTTTCATTGTTATTTTATTCACTTTGTTTTATTTTTCCTGACGCGCATAGGGCCCTCAAGGGAGGCGAGGGTCCCAAGTGAAATGTCAATGAGAGGAGCGGGGGGAAGCAACAATTCAGGGAGTCCTCGACTTATGACGATTCAATTTTTTTTCTTTCTTTCCTCTTTAAATTTATCTTCCCCAATATGTCGACGATGCCGGGCAGCTTACAGATCATAAAAATAGAGAAGTAATTAAAATATCTCAATTTTAGCGACCATTCGAAATTGGGACGGGGCTGAAAAAAGTGGCTTGCGACCGGTCCTCGCTTTTACGACCATCAGAATCAGGTGATCGTATTTGGTACTTGGCAACAGGCATGGATTTACAATGGTTAGAGTTTCCCAGGGTCACGTGATCTCCATTTGTGGCTTTCGCAGTTGGCAAATTCAGTAGAAGCAGCTGAATTCACTCAAACGACCGCATGATTCACTTACTGGCAATCCTCGATTTACAACTACAACCGAACCCAAAATTTCTACCACTACGCGAGATAGCCGTTAAGTGAGTTTTCCCCCATTTTACGGCCTTTTTTTTGCCCTGGTCGTTAAGTGAATCATGCAGTCGTATAACGAATGTAGCTTCCCCCCAGTTGGCTTTGCTTGGGAGTAGGTCACAAAAGGGGATCACATGACCCCGGGACAATGCTACCGTTATAAATATGAGTCAGTTGCCAAGCATTTGGATCTTGATCATGTGACCGCAGGGATGCTGCAACGGTCAAAAGTGTGAGAAACGGCCATAAGTCACTTTTTCCAGTGCCATTGTTCCTTTGAATGGTCACTAAACGAATGGTTGTAAGGGGAGGACTAACTGTACTTGTACATTTAATAACCGTGGCACCAGAAAGGTTTGTGCACGGCTCACTTAACAAGTGCCTTGCTTAGCAACGGAAATTCTGGTCCCAGTTGTGGACGTAAGTTGAGGACTACCTGTAACAGGTAGTCCTCGACTTACAACCACCATCAAGCCCAAAATTGATGTTGCTGAGTGAGAAATGTGTTAAGGGACTTTTGCCCCATTGTACGACCTTTCTTGCCACCGCTGTTAAGTGAATTCCTACAGTTGTGACAGGGTTGGTATGTGAATCTGGCTTCCTCGTTGACTTGGCTTGCAGGGTCACAAATAGGGGATCACGTGACCCCAGGACACTGCAACCCGTCATAAAGCTGAACCTTTATGTTCATGGGGATGCTTCAATGGTTGTTAACTGTGAAAACGGTCATAAGTCGCTTTTTCAGTGCTGTTGTGACGTCGAATGGTCACTAATGAACCGTTGTAAATTGAGGACTTCCTGTAATTCTTTTTTTCCTTCAAATCACCTTTTTACTTGGGTTCACATTGTACCTTGAGCTCTGAACCCGGGTTAATGAAACGTAATGCTTTCCTTCCCCCATTAAGTCAGATCTCAGCTAATAAGCCATCATGTCTTCTTAACCCAGTGTTTCTCAACCTTGGAAGCTTGAAGATGGGTGGACTTCAACTCCCAGAATCCCCCAGCCAGCGCTGCTGGCTGGGGGATTCTGGGAGTTGAAGTCCACCCATCTTCAAGCTACCAAGGTTGAGAAACACTGTCTTAACCCAACAAGCCCTGTTCACACAACCAACAGATGAACAGACTTCCCCGGATCCTGATTTCGCCTGGTGTGTGTATGTGTTTGTGCGAACGCAGCCAATGACACACTTACCGGCAGGGCAGGAATAAAGATCATCACATAAATGTGGGTTAATCTGCAAGAAAAAATGAAAAAACATTTTAATGGGTTGGGAACAAAAGAAGGACTCGGGGTGTGGGGACATAATAGCAATGGTTCCAGTATCTCAGGGGCTGCCCCAAAGAAGAGGGAGTCAAGCTATTCTCCAAAGCCCCTGAAGGCAGGACAAGAAGCAACGGGTGGAAACTAACCAAGGAGAGAAGCAACCTGGAATTGAGGAGAAACTTCCTGACAGTGAGGACAAATTAACCAGTGGAACTGCTTGCCACCAGAAGTTGAGGGCGCTTCATCACTGGCGGTTTTTATGAACAGACTAGACAGCCATCTGTCTAGAATGATATAGGGCCGTGATGGCGAACCTATGGCTCGCGTGCCACAGGTGGCATGGGGAGCCATATCTGTGGGCACGCAAGCGTTGCCCTAGCTCAGTTCCGATGCCCATGGGTGCACCAGCCAGCTGATTTTCGGGCCTTCCAGGCCCACCGGAAGTTGGGAAACAGGCTGTTTCCAGCCTCGGGGGGGGGGGTTGGGAAGGCTGTTTTCACCCTCCCCAGGCTCCAAGAAAGCCTCTGGAGCCTGGGGAGGGCGAAAAACAGGCCTACTGGGCCCAATGTGCCATCATGTGCCAAAAGCGAGGGGAGCGCGAGGGGGGGATTTTCAGGCCTTCCAGGCCCACCGGAAGTTGGGAAACAGGCTGCTTCCGGCCTCTGGGGGGTGTGGGGAAGGCGTTTTCACCCTCCCCAGGCTCCAAGAAAGCCTCTGGAGCCTGGGAAGGGCGAAAAACGGGCCTACCGGGCCCAATGTGCCATCATGTGCCAAAAGCAAGGGGAGTGCGAGGGGGGGATTTTCGGGCCTTCCAGGCGCACCGGAAGTTGGGAAACAGGCTGTTTCCGGCCTCGGGGGGGGGGGTTGGGAAGGCTGTTTTCACCCTCCCCAGGCTCCAAGAAAGCCTCTGGAGCCTGGGGGGGGGGCGAAAAACAGGCCTACCGGGCCCAATGTGCCATCATGTGCCAAAAGCGAGGGGAGCGCGAGGGGGGGATTTTCAGGCCTTCCAGGCCCACCGGAAGTTGGGAAACAGGCTGCTTCCGGCCTCTGGGGGGTGTGGGGAAGGCGTTTTCACCCTCCCCAGGCTCCAAGAAAGCCTCTGGAGCCTGGGGAGGGCGAAAAACGGGCCTACCGGGCCCAATGTGCCATCATGTGCCAAAAGCGAGGGGAGTGCGAGGGGGGGATTTTCGGGCCTTCCAGGCGCACCGGAAGTTGGGAAACAGGCTGTTTTTGGCCTCTGAGGAGGTGGGGAAGGCTGTTTTCACCCTCCCCAGGCTCCAAGAAAGGCTCTGGAGCCTGGAGAGGGCGAAAAATGGGCCTACCAGGCCCAATGTGCTATTATGTGCCAAAAGCGAGGGGAGCACGAGGGGGGGGTCGTGCGCATGCGCAGTGGGGCGGGGGGGCCTTTGAATTATGGGTGTGGGCACATGTGCGCGCAACCCCTCCCAGGCTCCCCCAGCTTTTGGCATGCAATGGCGAAAAGGTTAGCTTATTCAAAGAGAGACTGCCCCTTTCACTGGAGGTTCTTCTGCAAGACAAAATTGTCTTGTTGTTGTTTTAAGGGGGAAAAAAATTTAAGGATCTGCTATTAACTCCTTCTTTCCCTAAAAAAAAAAATGTAGGTTTTTTTCCGATGTGAAGATGAACTTTTGACCGAAAAAATATAAGAGAAGGAAAGTTTTTTCTCAAAGTTTGAAACGAAGAAGGAATTAAAAAAACAAAACAAAACAGGAACGAAGAGAAGAGGCAAAAAACAAGAAAGGGAAGAAAAAAAAGACGGTCGCGTAGCTGTTACACAAGAGCAAGGTGTGTTTTTGGAACACAACCCATCCTTTCCTAATTTTTTAAAAAAGCAAAAATAATCCTGCCGGTGTGAAATAGAAGAATCTGTGACGTTAGAGCAGCTCTTTTTGTCCGTTTTTCTTTTCGGTGCTCCACCCAAAAGGAGGAAATTAAAGAGTTGGCTTAATTGGGTCGATTGCTTAATTTGATCTCGACGGGTTTGTGTGAAAGGGACACCTGCGATGGGTGTGTCTTTTCTGTGCGTGGGTTGAAAGTAGTGTTATCATAAACCAGTTTATGGGTCATCCCCGATTTATGCCCACAACGGAGCTCAAAACCTTCCGTCGCCGAGACATGTATGAAGTGAATTTTGCCTCGTTTTGCAACTTTTCTTGCCACCGTGGCTAAGTGAGTCACTGCAGTTGTTAAGTGAGTCACACGGTCGTTCAGTGAATCTGGCTCCCCTATTGACTTGGCTTGTTAGAAGGTCGCAAAAGGGGATCGCGTGAGCCCGGGACACGCGGCAACTGTCGTAAATATGAGCCAGTTGCTAAGCATCTGAATTTTGACCCTGGGGAATGCTGCAACGGTCGTAAGTGTGGAAAATGGTCATAAGTCACTTTTTTTTCACTAACGTCGTAACATGGAATGGACCTTAAATGAATGGTCATAAGTCAAGAACTTTCTGTAATCCACCATCACTTGAAATACTCTGTTTTTTTCTGGAAAAGCTGTACTTCCTGAGTTATTCTATTATTTTGGGGGCCCCTCAAAAACAGATGCTCCCTTGCCTTTTTTGACCTCTCTCCCCCATGGATGACCATGGTTTGTTAGGTGTTTGTTACCCACTGCAATATTTGAGGCAGCCATAGGGAACTGAAGCACAAGTAGTCCTCAACTTACGACCACAATTGAGACCAGAATCGCTGTTCTTAAGTGAGACGGTTGTTAAGTGAGTCGCACCCAATTTTACGGCTTACGTCATAAAACAGGATGAGGCAGGACTCCCCAAAAGGCCGTAAGTGTGACCGCGTTACCAAGTCTCTGCAATCACGTAACCATGGGACAAAAGGACTGTCATAACTTCAGAAATGGGACGCGGCATCCTTTTTTCCAAGCAAGTCGTAACTTGGAAGAGTCACTAAGCTACCGGTCATAAGTTGAGGATGACTTATAAAATGAATTGGTTTTAACAATGGTTAGATAATAAAAGTAGAAATTAGAAATGGGAAGAATATTACTATATGTAAGTAAAGATTATTGTTATTATTTCTGTTGTTGTTATTATTATTATTATATAAACTTTTATTTATTAAACACGAAACTCAAGTCAACTGAACATTCAAAAATGCATCACAAATACCACTGACTGGTGCTAATGGTTGATACGGGTTGCTGCCAGCGTCTTAGGTATCAACCAAGTACCTTCTTAAGATGTATTATTATTACTATTATTATTATTATCACCATTATTATCACTATTATTACTATTAGTAGTAGTAGTACTATTAGGTACATGTAAAAAGACCCAGATAATACACTGTTTATTGAATACTTATGCATATTAAAGAAAATGTATAAATAAATATATATATATGTATAAAAAAAGGAAAGACTTGCACAAGCCAGAAAAATAAATAGTCCCATTTCACAGACAAAAGCCAGGAAAAGCTCCAGGCCCGGACAAGATTACTCCTTCTTGCTTAAAAGTCTGTGCTGACCAATTGGCCCCCATCTTCACCCGAATCTTCAAGAAATCGCTAGAGATATGCTATGTTCCTTCTTGCTTCAAACGCTCTACTATCATCCCAGTGCCGGAGAAGCCCACCATCAAGGAACTGAACGATTACAGACCAGTTGCTCTAACATCTGTAGTCATGAAAACCTTTGAAAGGCTAGTGTTGTCCCACTTGAAAAGCAGAGGCTTTCTTGGAGCCTGGGGAGGGCAAAAACGGCCTCCCCCCAACCCTCGGAGGCCCTCCGGAGGCAGGAAACGGCCCATTGGCCAACTTCCGGTGGGCCCCGGAGGCCTGTTTTTCACTCTCCCCAGGCTCCAGAGCCTTTCTTGGAGCCTGGGGAGGGTGAAAACAGTCTTCCCCACCTTCCCGGAGGCCCTCTGGAGGCCAGAAAGGGCCCATTTCCCGACTTCCGGTGGGCCCAGAAGGCCCAAAATCAGCTGGCCGACTCGCGCATGCGCGCCATAGCTGAGTTAGGGCAAAGCTCACGTGCCCACTGATATGGCTAAGCGTGCCACCTGTGGCACGCGTGCCATAGGTTCGCCATCACGGTCCTACAACATCTTGAATCTCCAAAGACATACGCAAGAGTCCTCTTCATAGACTTTAGTTCAGCATTCAATACCATCATTCCAGACATTCTGTTGTGGCTCCATTATCTGAGCCTGTGTCATCGGCAGGAGAGGACTCCGAGAGTGAAGGAGAGGAGTTGGCAAGGCCTCCCTCTCCAGGACCCTCCTCTCTGGCAATGCCTTCGGTGTCCGCCGAAGAGCAAGAGATAGGGCCGGGGCCAAACACGTCCACGCAGCCACAGGTGGACAGTGATGAGGGTAATGAGTCTTGGCTGGATCCACACCAGCGTCGCAGAGATAAGCGCGCGCAACAGAAGAAAAGGCGTGCCCGAGATTAGGCTGAGTCACTGGACCACACCCCACAGGATATAAAAGGGAGCGTGGTGGCCAGTCAAACCTTGTGACGAACAAAGCTGAAAGCTTCCACGCCATTCTGCATTGCCGGACTTTTGCTTTAAGACTTTACTGGACTATCTCTGGACTTGATTGACTCAGTAATTATTGAGCTGTTTCTTTTGATGTATCAGAAGTGGGGAGAAGCTATGTCGCCTCTTCGTAAATAATAAACTCTTGGCAGGCAGCCACTAGGTTGTTGCCAAGTTCCGTTATCATAAGGAAAAGGATTTTGCCGGCTGGTTTGGTCTTTAACTCTTGAACGTCTGTTGGGGTGTGTGCGTGTGGTTGGGGACAGAACACATTCTTCTAACTAAGCTAAACCAGCTAGTGGTACCTGAGCACACTTGTAAGTAAGCTTCCTAACAGACAGGAAGCAGCAGGTGAAGCTAAGCAGAATCTCATCAGATACCTGTACAATTAGCACAGGGCCCCCCCAAAGCTGTGTGCTCTCCCCACTTCTCTTCTCTCTGCATACCAATGACTGCATCACTAACGATCCATCTGTTAAACTACCGAAGTTCGCAGATGACACAACAGTGAATGGTCTCATTCGAGACAACGATGAATCCGCGTACAGACGGGAGGTTGAACAACTAGCCTCGTGGTGCGACCGGAACAATCTGGATGTCAGCGTTCCAGCGCTGACATATTGAAAGGAGAGGAGAAGCTTGAACTTTGGCCTATTTAATTCCTTTGAAGATTCTGTTTCTTCGGAGATGGGACGAGGGGGGGACATTCCTGTGATCTGACAGAGATGGGATGAGGAGAGTGGCTTGGAAGATAGCCAATGAGACGCAGAGAATTGGGGATCGGAAAGGGGGGGATTCGGGGCAAAGGTCAGTGCTGACCGCGAAAGAGCCAGGGACAGATCACTATGCTCAATAAAGAGAAAATTTCCTCAAAGATCGGCAGTTTAGAAATTCATTTAGTTTGAGATAGTATCGAAACCTGACAGAGGAACTGAACACGCTCAAAACCGTAGAAATGGTGGTGGACTTTAGGAGAAACCCTCCCATACTTCCACCTCTCACGATACTAGACAACACAGTATCAACGGCAGAGACCTTCAAATTTCTAGGTTCTACCATATCGCAAGGTCTAAAATGGACACCCAACATCAAAAACGTCATCAAAAAAGCACAACAAAGAAGGTTCTTTCTGCCCCAACTCAGGAAGCTCAAACTGCCCAAGGAGCTGCTGATACGGTTCTACAGAGGAATTGTTGAGTCTGTCATCTGCACCTCCATAACTGTCTGGTTTGGATTTGCAACCCAACAAGACCGACACAGACTTCAGAGGAGAATTAGAACTGCAGAAAAAACCATGGCTACCAACCTGCCTTCCATGGAGGACCTGGCTACTGCATGAGTCAAAAAGAGGGCTGTGAAAATATCTACAGACCCCTCATATCCTGGACATAAATTGTTTCAACTCCTTCCCTCAAAACGACGCTATAGAGCACTGCACACCAGAACAACTAGGCACAAGGACAGTTTTTTTCTTTTATGTACAGTGACAGCATATGCAGTTGCGTCCCTTTCTGGACCGGGATTCCTTGCGCACAGTCACTCAAGTCCTCGTCACCTCCTGTCTGGACTACTGTAACGCTCTCTACATGGGACTCCCCTTGAAGAGCACCCGGAGGCTCCAGCTGGTCCAGAATGCAGCCGCGCGGGTGATTATGGGAGCGACTTGACGCTCCCATGTAACACCGCTCCTGTGTGAGCTGCACTGGCTCCCGGTGCTCTTCCGGGTGAGATTCAAGGTGTTGGTTGCCATCTTTAAATCGCTCCATGGCTTAGGACCCGGGTACTTACGAGACCGCCTTCTGCCACCGATAGCCTCCCATCGACCAGTACGCTCCCACAGAGAGGGACTCCTCAGGGTGCCGTCGGTCAAACAATGTCGACTGGCGACCCCCAGGGGGAGAGCCTTCTCTGTGGGGCACCTGCCCTCTGGAATGAGCTGCCCCCGGAGATTCGTAGGATCCCCGACCTTCGCACCTTTCACCGCGCCCTCAAAACGCTATTGTTTCACCAAGCAGGGCTGGCATAAATGCTATTTTAATGGGTGGTTTCTATTTTAGCTTTTTCGACCAAATTAATTAATATTTTTAAATTGTCTTTTAACTTTCATATAGTTGTGGGTTTTATTTTTGGCTGTACACCACCCTGAGTCCTTCGGGAAAAGGACGGTATAAAAATTAAATAAATAGATAGATAGATAGATAGATAGATAGATAGATAGATAGATAGATAGATAGATAGATAAATAAATAATGCAGCAAGACACACTTGGCCAATAAAAATCCTATTCTATTCTATTCTATTCTATTCTATTCTATTCTATTCTATTCTATTCTATTCTATTCCCCATTCAAAAAAAAAAAAAAATTTTTAGGATCCGGCTATGGATTTACACCAGGGCTGCTATTCAGCAGGTTCTGACAGGTTCCGCAGAACCGGTAGCGGAAATTTTGAGTAGTTCCGAGAACTGGCAAATACCACCTCTGGCTGGCCCCAGAGTGGGGCTGGAACGGAGATTTTGCATTATCCTTCCCCTGCCACACCCACCAAGCCATGCCACACCCACAGAACCGGTAGTAAAAAAAAAAATTGAATTCCCCCACTGATTTGCACCGTTTTGCAAAACCGAGAGGCGCCCTTTTTTTTTTTTTTGCCGTTTTTCTCGATCTGTTTTGCGGGGTTAGATACAGATTCAAAACGTCAGGGACTAGCAACATGACTCCCAGCTGCAAATAGATGAGTTCCGGGCACAGGCTGTCAAAGCAAATGGGCCACCGCACCCAGAAGGGATTGTAGTTCAGGAATGCGTGCGTGTCTGCACAAGGCCGGGCATTGGCACACAATCGCCCAAGAACGCCACACAATCACCCGTTCGAGCATGCCCAACCTGGAGACTTCGGGATCCTGTCGGAAAAGCAGCAAGATCCTCTCGGTGTTAAGGAAAAGGGCCCAGCAGGGAAAGCAGAAAAGGAGAAGAATTAGGATGCCCCGTTGCAGGATCGTGCCGACTCTCTTCACGTTCTTACTCCCGTAAGTCTGGTTAAAAGAGAGAGAGAGAGAGAGAATAAAATAAAATAAAATAAAATAAAATGAATAAAATAATAAAATAAAATAAAATAAAATAAAATAGGATAATAAAAAATAAAATAAAATAAATAAAATGAATAAAATAATTCATTTTATTATTGTTTAGCTCAACAGACAGAAGCACTGTAATTTAACACCAGCCGCCTGCAATTATTGCAAGTTCAATTCTCACCAGGCTCAAGGTCGACTCAGCCTTCCATCCTTTCTAAAGTGGGTAAAATGAGGACCAGGTTTGTGGGGCAATAAGCTGACTTTGTATAAATATACAAAAGGATGAAGGCTATTGCTTAAAGCACTGTAAGCCGCCCTGAGTCTCCGGAGAAGGGCGGCATATAAACCAAATTTAAAAAATAAATAAATAAATAAAAAATAAAATAAAATAATAAAATAAAATAAAATAAATAAAATAAAATAAATAGAATAAAATAAAATATAAAATAAATTAGAATAAAAATTAAAATAATAAAATAAAATAAAATAGGATAATAAAAAATAAAATGAATAAAATGAATAAAATAATAAAATAAAATAAAATAGGATAATAAAAAATAAAATAGAATAAAAAATAGAATAAAAATAGAATAATAAAATAAAATAAATAAAATAAAATAAATAAAATGAAAAATAAAATAAATAAAATGAAAAATAAAATAAATAAAAAAAAATAAAATAAAATATAATAAAATAAAATGTAAAATACATTATCCGTCATTTCCCTCAGGGCAGCTAGGAAATCAGATTCTTATTACAGGCAGTCCTCAAGCTACGGCCACAACGGGGCCCAAAATTTACGTTGCTAAGTGAAACATTTGTGAAGTGAATTTTGCCCTGGTTTACAAATTTCCCGGCCACGGTTGTTAAGGGAATCATTGCATTTGTTAAGTAAGTCACATGATTGTTAAGTGAATCTGGCTTCCTCATTGACTTTGCTCGTCAGAAGGACGCAAAAGGGGATTATTATTATTATTATTATTATTATTATTATTATTATTATTATTGTTATTATTGTTATTATTGTTATTATTATTATTATTATTATTATTATTATTATTATTATTATTAATTGAATTTGTATACCGCCCTACTCCCGAAGGACTCAGGGCGGTGAACAGCCAAATAAAATACATATAATACAAATGTTAAAAAAGCATTAAAATACAATTAAACAATTGGCCCGTAAAACGAAATTTAAAACACCCCAAATTCATACAACAAATTTAAAATTGAAGAATTTTAAAACTTTAAAAACTTGACCCCGGGATCCTGTGACCGTCATAAATAGGAACCAGTTGCCAAGCGTCTAAATTTTTTATCACGTGACCACGGAGATGCTGCAACGGTCATAAGTGTGAAAAACGGTCCCATGTCACTATTTTCAGTGGCCTCGTAACTTGGAGCGGTCACTAAATGAACTGTTAAAAGTCGAGGACTACCTCTGTTCACTCACCAAAGGATCTCTGAGCAAAGCGCTGAGGAATTCGAGGACCACATGCTTAAATTTATACAAATTCTCTTCATTGATAGGAGAGACGCAGAATCATAAGCATATGAGGATCAGAGAAGGGCTTTTATTGCCATGGTCATTAAGCGAATCACCGCAGTTGTTAAGCGTAAGGCACGGTACCTGTGACATGAGGGTGTCGCATACCGATGCCAAGCCGGTACCCACCGAAATGCCAACCACGTTGACGACCTTGAAAGGAGGGAACGGGAGAAAAGGAAAGGTCAGCAAGAGATTTCCACTGTATTTGTCCCCCATTCAGCCTCCAACACCGTCTTTCTCACCCGTGGCAATTTGAAGATGGGTGGACTTCAACTCCCAGAATTCCTCAACCATCAATGCACGGAGGGTTGCAGAATTCTGGGTCCATCTGTCAAAGCATGCTGGGAGTGGAAGTCCACTCATCTTAAAGCAGGCTGGCTGGGGAATTCTGGGAGTGGAAGTCCATCCCTCTTAAAGCAGGCTGGCTGGGGGATTCTGGAAGTCCACCCATTTTAAAGCATGCTGGCTGGGGGATTCTGGGAGTGGAAGTCCATCCCTCTTAAAGCAGGCTGGCTGGGGAATTCTGGGAGTGGAAGTCCACCCCTCTTAAAGCAGGCTGGCTGGGGAATTCTGGGAGTGGAAGTCCATCCATCTTAAAGCAGGCTGGCTGGGGAATTCTGGGAATGGAAGTCCATCCATCTTAAAGCATGCAGGCTGGGGAATTCTGGGAGTGGAAGTCCACCCCTCTTAAAGCATGATGGCTGGGGGATTCTGGGAGTGGAAGTCCTCCCCTCTTAAAGCATGATGGCTGGGGAATTCTGGGAGTGGAAGTCCATCCATCTTAAAGCATGCAGGCTGGGGAATTCTGGGAGTGGAAGTCCACCCCTCTTAAAGCATGATGGCTGGGGTATTCTGGGAGTGGAAGTCCACCCCTCTTAAAGCATGATGGCTGGGGGATTCTGGGAGTGGAAGTCCACCCCTCTTAAAGCATGATGGCTGGGGGATTCTGGGAGTGGAAGTCCTCCCCTCTTAAAGCATGATGGCTGGGGAATTCTGGGAGTGGAAGTCCATCCATCTTAAAGCATGCAGGCTGGGGAATTCTGGGAGTGGAAGTCCTCCCCTCTTAAAGCATGATGGCTGGGGGATTCTGGGAGTGGAAGTCCACCCCTCTTAAAGCATGATGGCTGGGGAATTCTGGGAGTGGAAGTCCATCCATCTTAAAGCATGCAGGCTGGGGAATTCTGGGAGTGGAAGTCCACCCCTCTTAAAGCATGGCTGGCTGGGGAATTCTGGGAGTTGAAGTCCACCCATCTTAAAGCATGCTGGCTGGGGGATTCTGGGAGTGGAAGTCCACCCCTCTTAAAGCATGGCTGGCTGGGGAATTCTGGGAGTGGAAGTCCACCCCTCTTAAAGCATGCTGGCTGGGGTATTCTGGGAGTGGAAGTCCACCCCTCTTAAAGCATGGCTGGCTGGGGAATTCTGGGAGTTGAAGTCCACCCATCTTAAAGCAGGCTGGCTGGGGGATTCTGGGAGTTGGAGTCCACCCCTCTTAAAGCATGGCTGGCTAGGGGATTCTGGGAGTGGAAGTCCACCCCTCTTAAAGCATTGCTGGCTGGGGAATTCTGGGAGTGGAAGTCCACCCATCTTAAAGCAGGCTGGCTGGGGAATTCTGGGAGTGGAAGTCCACCCCTCTTAAAGCATGCTGGCTGGGGATTCTGGGAGTGGAAGTCCACCCGTCTTAAAGCATGCAGGCTGGGGAATTCTGGGAGTGGAAGTCCATCCATCTTAAAGCATGCAGGCTGGGGGATTCTGGGAGTGGAAGTCCACCCGTCTTAAAGCAGGCTGGCTGGGGAATTCTGGGAGTGGAAGTCCATCCATCTTAAAGCATGCAGGCTGGGGAATTCTGGGAGTGGAAGTCCACCCCTCTTAAAGCATGGCTGGCTGGGGGATTCTGGGAGTGGAAGTCCATCCATCTTAAAGCAGGCTGGCTGGGGAATTCTGGGAGTTGGAGTCCACCCCTCTTAAAGCATGGCTGGCTGGGGGATTCTGGGAGTTGAAGTCCACCCATCTTAAAGCAGGCTGGCTGGGGAATTCTGGGAGTTGGAGTCCACCCCTCTTAAAGCATGGCTGGCTGGGGGATTCTGGGAGTGGAAGTCCACCCCTCTTAAAGCATTGCTGGCTGGGGAATTCTGGGAGTGGAAGTCCACCCCCCTTAAAGCAGGCTGGCTGGGGAATTCTGGGAGTGGAAGTCCACCCCTCTTAAAGCATGCTGGCTGGGGGATTCTGGGAGTGGAAGTCCACCCGTCTTAAAGCATGCAGGCTGGGGAATTCTGGGAGTGGAAGTCCACCCCTCTTAAAGCAGGCTGGCTGGGGAATTCTGGGAGTGGAAGTCCATCCATCTTAAAGCATGCAGGCTGGGGAATTCTGGGAGTGGAAGTCCACCCGTCTTAAAGCATGCAGGCTGGGAAATTCTGGGAGTGGAAGTCCATCCTTCTTAAAGCATGCAGGCTGGGGAATTCTGGGAGTGGAAGTCCACCCGTCTTAAAGCATGCAGGCTGGGGAATTCTGGGAGTGGAAGTCCATCCATCTTAAAGCATGCAGACTGGGGAATTCTGGGAGTGGAAGTCCATCCATCTTAAAGCATGCAGGCTGGGGAATTCTGGGAGTGGAAGTCCACCCGTCTTAAAGCAGGCTGGCTGGGGAATTCTGGGAGTTGAAGTCCACCCATCTTAAAGCAGGCTGGCTGGGGGATTCTGGGAGTTGGAGTCCACCCATCTTAAAGCATGCTGGCTGGGGGATTCTGGGAGTGAAGTCCACCCTTCTTAAAGCAGGCTGGCTGGGGGATTCTGGGAGTTGGAGTCCACCCATCTTAAAGCATGCTGGCTGGGGGATTCTGGGAGTTGGAGTCCACCCATCTTAAAGCATGCTGGCTGGGGGATTCTGGGAGTTGAAGTCCACCCATCTTAAAGCAGGCTGGCTGGGGGATTCTGGGAGTTGAAGTCCACCCATCTTAAAGCAGGCTGGCTGGGGAATTCTGGGAGTGGAAGTCCACCCATCTTAAAGCAGGCTGGCTGGGGAATACTGGGAGTGGAAGTCCACCCGTCTTAAAGCAGGCTGGCTGGGGAATTCTGGGAGTTGAAGTCCACCCATCTTAAAGCAGGCTGGCTGGGGAATTCTGGGAGTTGAAGTCCACCCATCTTAAAGCAGGCTGGCTGGGGAATTCTGGGAGTTGAAGTCCACCCATCTTAAAGCATGCAGGCTGGGGAATTCTGGGAGTTGAAGTCCACCCATCTTAAAGCAGGCTGGCTGGGGAATTCTGGGAGTTGAAGTCCACCCATCTTAAAGCAGGCTGGCTGGGGAATTCTGGGAGTTGAAGTCCACCCGTCTTAAAGCAGGCTGGCTGGGGAATTCTGGGAGTTGAAGTCCACCCGTCTTAAAGCATGCAGGCTGGGGAATTCTGGGAGTGGAAGTCCACCCCTCTTAAAGCAGGCTGGCTGGGGAATTCTGGGAGTAGAAGTCCACCCATCTTAAAGCAGGCTGGCTGGGGAATTCTGGGAGTGGAAGTCCTCCCATCTTAAAGCAGGCTGGCTGGGGAATTCTGGGAGTAGAAGTCCACCCATCTTAAAGCATGCCGGCTGGGGAATTCTGGGAGTGGAAGTCCACCCATCTTAAAGCATGCCAGCTAGGGAATTCTGGGAGTGGAAGTCCACCCCTCTTAAAGCATGCTGGCTGGGGAATTCTGGGAGTGGAAGTCCACTCATCTTAAAGCATGCTGGCTGGGGGATTCTGGGAGTGGAAGTCCACCCGTCTTAAAGCATGCAGGCTGGGGAATTCTGGGAGTGGAAGTCCATCCATCTTAAAGCATGCAGACTGGGGGATTCTGGGAGTGGAAGTCCATCCATCTTAAAGCAGGCTGGCTGGGGATTCTGGGAGTTGGAGTCCACCCATCTTAAAGCATGCTGGCTGGGGAATTCTGGGAGTGGAAGTCCACCCCTCTTAAAGCAGGCTGGCTGGGGGATTCTGGGAGTTGAAGTCCACCCATCTTAAAGCAGGCTGGCTGGGGGATTCTGGGAGTTGAAGTCCACCCATCTTAAAGCAGGCTGGCTGGGGAATTCTGGGAGTGGAAGTCCTCCCATCTTAAAGCAGGCTGGCTGGGGAATTCTGGGAGTAGAAGTCCACCCATCTTAAAGCAGGCTGGCTGGGGAATTCTGGGAGTTGAAGTCCACCCATCTTAAAGCATGCTGGCTGGGGAATTCTGGGAGTGGAAGTCCACCCATCTTAAAGCATGCCAGCTAGGGAATTCTGGGAGTGGAAGTCCACCCCTCTTAAAGCATGCTGGCTGGGGAATTCTGGGAGTGGAAGTCCACTCATCTTAAAGCATGCTGGCTGGGGGATTCTGGGAGTGGAAGTCCACCCGTCTTAAAGCATGCAGGCTGGGGAATTCTGGGAGTGGAAGTCCACCCCTCTTAAAGCAGGCTGGCTGGGGAATTCTGGGAGTGGAAGTCCACCCGTCTTAAAGCATGCAGGCTGGGGAATTCTGGGAGTGGAAGTCCACCCCTCTTAAAGCAGGCTGGCTGGGGAATTCTGGGAGTGGAAGTCCATCCATCTTAAAGCATGCAGGCTGGGGAATTCTGGGAGTGGAAGTCCACTCATCTTAAAGCATGCAGGCTGGGGAATTCTGGGAGTGGAAGTCCACTCATCTTAAAGCATGCAGGCTGGGGAATTCTGGGAGTGGAAGTCCATCCATCTTAAAGCATGCAGGCTGGGGAATTCTGGGAGTGGAAGTCCACTCATCTTAAAGCATGCAGGCTGGGGAATTCTGGGAGTGGAAGTCCACTCATCTTAAAGCATGCAGGCTGGGGAATTCTGGGAGTGGAAGTCCATCCATCTTAAAGCATGCAGGCTGGGGAATTCTGGGAGTGGAAGTCCACCCCTCTTAAAGCAGGCTGGCTGGGGAATTCTGGGAGTGGAAGTCCACCCCTCTTAAAGCAGGCTGGCTGGGGAATTCTGGGAGTGGAAGTCCACCCATTTTAAAGCATGCAGGCTGGGGAATTCTGGGAGTGGAAGTCCATCCATCTTAAAGCATGCAGGCTGGGGAATTCTGGGAGTGGAAGTCCATCCATCTTAAAGCAGGCTGGCTGGGGGATTCTGGGAGTGGAAGTCCACCCATTTTAAAGCATGCAGGCTAGGGAATTCTGGGAGTGGAAGTCCACTCATCTTAAAACATGCTGGCTGGGGGATTCTGGGAGTGGAAGTCCGCACATCCATGCGCCAGTCAATAGTCAATCCTCACCTTCTCTAATTCTACCGGGGTGACAGTGCTAGAAAATCTCTTTTCCTTCTTCGGCTAAGCGGGGATGTACCTACCGAGACGGCAAGGGTGACGGCATCCAGTTCCACCTTGCCCAGGTGGCCGCAGAAGATGGAGCTCACCACACTGATCAAGAAGCCCAACAGTTGGGCTGTGAACTGGGGAGGAAATTCCAAAGTTAGAGGATCATCCTGAAAGTCGTTTAAAGATTTACTTCTAAAAGTCATTCTCTTAAATGGACAAGCCAAACACCACCGTCCGGTATTACCAAACCGCACACTTGTCTCCCAGTGGGGCGTATCTGAGATTGGAATTATAGAATAATAAGAGTTGGAAGGGACCCTGGAGGTCTTCTAGTCCAACCCCCTGCTCAAGCAGGAGACCTTATACCATTTCAGATAAATGGTTGTCCAATCTCGTTTAAAACGTCCAGTGTTGGAGCATTCACAACTTCTGGTGGCAAGTTGTTCCACTGGTTAATTGTTCTCACTGTCAGGAAATTCCTCCTTAGTTCTAAGTTGCTTCTCTCCTTGATGAGTTTCCATCCGTTGCTTCTTCTCCTGCCTTCAGGTGCTTTGGAGAATAGGGTGACCCCGTCTTATTTGGGGCAGCCCCTCAAATATTGGAACACTGCTATCCTGGTCTTCTTCTGGAAACCCACCCCTAACCACCTTGTCCTTCTGAGTTTCCAATAATCTGCCATTTTTACTTCTGGTGTTTTACTTTCTGGTTTCAAATGTCATGGAAAATGGTTCTTCAGCCAGAGACTAGCTTGCTAAAGTTAAGTGAAAAGTGTCCAGATAGTTGTGGAAATACGGTGTATGGTGGTGATTGAGGGGAAAGGGAATTCAAGTATTTTTCCAGGTGCTAAATTCAATACCCCAATACGATATATAAACAATATATAAGCAGATAGAGGGATGGACGGACAGATGGATGGATAGATGGATAAGGAGACAGACAGACAGATGCATATGTAGATTGATAGATAGATGAGAGATAGATAGATGGATGGTGAGTGGATGTGTAACAGACAGACGGATGGATGGACAGGTAATTATGTGAATGGATGGATACATAGACAGATGGACAGACAGATGGATAGATGGATAAGGAGACAGGCAGACGGATAGATAGATAGATAGATAGATAGATAGATAGATAGATAGATGAGAGATAGATGGATGGAAGATGGACAGACCGATGGATAAGGAGACAGACAGACGGATAGATAGATAGATAGATAGATAGATAGATAGATAGATAGATAGATGGATGGATGGACAGGTAATTATGTGAATGGATGAATACATAGACAGATGGACAGACAGATGGACAGATGGATAAGGAGACAGACAGACGTATATGTAGATAGATAGATAGATAGATAGATAGATAGATAGATAGATAGATAGATAGATGGATGGAGGGTGGATGTGTAACAGACAGATGGATGGATAGACAGGTAATTATGTGAATGGATGGATAGGGTGAGTAGATAAGTAGATACATGGATGGATAGATGAGGAATATGTAGACAGAGAGACAAATGGACAGATGGATGGGTAAGTAGGTATATTATAGGTAGGTAGATGGTATGTGGATGGATGGATAGGTGCAGGGAAGGAAGGATAAAGGGGTGGATGGACGAATGCGTGGGTAGGTAGAAACATGGATGGATGGAAGTAGGGATATGTAGACAGAGAGATGGTTGGACAGATGGGTAGGTAGGTAGATGGATGGATGGGTATGTAGGCTGATGGATGGAGGGAGGGAGGGATGAAGGGTGGATGTAGAGATAGATGAATGGATGGGTGGGAGGGAGGGAGGGAGGGTAGGTACATGGATGGATGGATGGATGGATGGATGCAAGGATACGTATACAGGCGGACGGATGGAAGGATAGGTAGGTACATGGATGGATGGACATGTAGATGGATGGATAGGTCGATAGGTGGATACATGAATGCAGGGATGGGATTTGGACCGGTTCGGGAAAACCGGATGCTAATTTTACATCTGGTTCGCCGAACCGGTAGTTGCAAGGACTGGCTGGCCCCTCCCACTCCACCCCTCCCCTCCCAGGAGTCTCCATATGGCCTGTTTTAGGTGCAGGGCCTGTGCGGAGGCTCTGGGAGGACGAAAAATGGGCCTCCTGGAAATACCGGAAGTTTGGATGGCCTCCGGAGCCTGGGGAAGGCTGTTTTTGCCCCTCCCAGATGCTCGAGGAAAGCCTCCAGAGCCTGGGGAGGGCGAAAATGCCCCCCCCCATGGTGCAGGAGGCCGAGTAGGCCCCGCCCACCCAAGCAACCAGACCGAGAACCAGTTGCTAAAATTTTTCAATCCCACCCCTGCATGAATGAGTAGGTAGGTAGCAGGGGTGGGTTCTAAACTTTTTTACTACCGGTTCTGTGGGCGTGGCTTATTTTGTGGGTGTGGCTTGGAGGTCATGTGACTAGGTGGGCGTGGCTGGCTGGCCAGAGTCATTTCTGGAAGGTCCTCGCACTTACGACCAGTCCTCGCACTTACGACCCGACTCATTTGTTTGCTTTTAACACTGATCAGCTGTAGGGCGGCCCTTTGAAGCCCCGCGGCAAGAGTTTTAAACAGTTTTTTTCCCCCTCTAGTCATCAGCTGGGACTCAGGAGGCAGCAATAGATTGGGGGTGGGGCCAAATAAAAGGTAAGAATAACGTGGGGGGGGAGGAAGAACCGGTTTGGTGACGTCATATCGTCACCGCTACCGGCTCGGCCGAACCGGACCGAACCGGGAAGAACCCACCACTGGTAGGTAGATACATGGGTGGATGGATGGATAGAGGAACAGACAGACAGATGACAGACGTTGCAAAATACGTTTGCTTCAGCCTATCATTCCGGCTCTGCAACGCTCCACACTCGCGTGCCCTACCTAAGAGTCACCTCCTGCCAATCAAAGCGAGCGTTCGACACACCGGGAGCTCTCTCTCTCTCTCTCTCTCTCTCTCTCTCTCTCTCTCTCCCCTTGCGGTCTGCAATCCTCCGAGCCAGACAAACACTCCTTGTGTCTTTTGGTACCAAAGAGTTTGATCTGGCTCTCGGAACCTGGGAATGCAAACTTTAGCTTGGCGCGTTCTGCACTGAAGGGAAAGACGCCAAGATAAGCGACATCCACCTGGATTAAGTCGGTTTATGCAATCTCCGCCCAGCGCGTTTACGTGAGCTATCCGATCTAGGGGCTGACCTTTCTCCCGGCTAAAGGGCGACACGGGGGGGGGGAGTTACGAAAGGATTTTTATCAAGGAGCAAAGGACAGAAAGTTAGAAAGCATCGTCCTCTCCTCCAAAGCACCAGAAGGCAGGACAAGGAGCGACGGAAGCAACCTCGAATTAAGGAGAAGCTTCCTGACAGTTAGAACAATTCATCGGTGGAACTGCTTGCCACCAGAAGTTGTGGGTGCTTCATCACTGAAGGTTTTTAAGAAGAGACTGGACAGCCACTTTTTTTTTTTTATTTGATTTATATGCTGCCTTTCTCCGGAGACTCAAGGCGGCTTACAATGTGCTCAGCAATAGCCTTCATCCTTTTGTATATTTATACAAAGTCAGCTTATTGCCCCCACAAACTGGGTCCTCATTTCACCTACCTTAGAAAGGATGGAAGGCTGAGTCAACCTTGAGCCTTGGAGAGATTCGAACTAGCAGAAATTGCAGGCAGCTGTGTTAATAACAGGGTGCACTAAACCACTGTACTATCAAGGTATAGGTCTGGTATAGGTCTCCTGCCAGGTCCCTTCCAGCTCCTCTTCTTCTCTTCTCTTCTCTTCTCTTCTCTTCTCTTCTCTTCTCTTCTCTTCTCTTCTCTTCTCTTCTCTTCTCTTCTCTTCTCTTCTCTTCTCCTCTCCTCTCCTCTCCTCTCCTCTCCTCTTGGAGGTCATCTAGTCCAACCTCCCACCCAAGCAGGACATCCTACACCATTTCTGACAGGGGGCAGTCCAGTCTCTTCTTGAAGCCTCCAGGGATGAAGCTCCCACAACTTCCGAAGGCAACTTCTGTTCCATGGGTTGATTGGTAGTAAAAGTATCTTTTCTCTAATGGAGTCAAGGGTCTTTCTTTCCTAGGGGAGTAAGCTGGGGCCAGCCTGACACTACCTGTAGCAGTGGTGGGTTCCTCCCGGTTCGGCCCGGTTCGCGAGAGCCAATAGCGGTGACGATATGACGTCACCGAACCGGTTCTCTATCTTCGGGAGCTGGCCCTCCCGCCCGCCCCGGCGTTATGCCGACCTTATATGTCGGTTTTTTCGCCCAGCTGAAAGGTGTAGCAGAGCGGATTGCTGCACCTCAGCTGGGCAGATTCGCAACACGCTTGCGCGAAACGCAAGTTTGGTGTCCTGCGAGCGAACTGAGCATGCGCACGATGATCGCGTGCGAAGTACGCGACTGAAGAGGCGATCGCGTGCAAAGCGCACACACAAAGAGAACCGGTAGTAAAGCCGATTAGAACCCACCCCTGACCTGTAGCCGGGATGGGAGGGACTTTAGAGGTCTTCTAGTCGAACTAAGGCAAATCCAGGACAACCATCCCCAAACTGAGATGCTCCAACTTCTGAAGTCAAACCTTCTCCTTCAAACCCAACCCGAAATGGTGACTACAAAGAAGATATTTTCTGGAAAATTTGGAAACCATTCGTGGACTATGCGCTGGGAAAATTAGATGCTTCGGTACCTGTACCCCGAGAACGTGGATTTTGGCGATCATGAGGATATATCTGAAGAACCAAATCTTCCTTTCTTATGTATAGCACAGGGTGAAGTATTGTATATGCTGTTTGTAATGTTATTTTAATAATAAATAATTTAAAATTTAATAGAGCCTGGTGGCGCAGCAGACTAATAGCCTGTTATTATCATCCAGCTGCCTGCAATTACTGCTAGTTCGAATCTCGCCAGGCTCAAGGTTGACTCAGCCTTCCATCCTTTCTAAGGTAGGTAAATTGAGGACCCAGTTTGTGGGGGCAATAAGCTGACTTTGTATAAATATACAAAAGGATGAAGGCTATTGCTTAACGCATTGTAAGCCGCCCTGAGTCTCCGGAGAAGGGCGGCATATAAATTAAATTAAAAAATAAAAAATAAAAATAAAAAACAAACCCAACCCGGAATTTTTTTTCTGCCTGAAGCA